GCCGTTTGACATTCAGCAAGGGAAACGGATTGGCAAACGGTCGGATTTCTGTAAATATGGAATGTGTTGGTGTGCATAGTTCGTCCTATATCAACCTGTACCTCATGACTCATCGAACAGTGATCCATGCGGAGACTGCTAATTCACAGTTTGAATACCTCGGCACTTGTTGTAGTCTCCCCTCCCCCTCCCCCTCAAACTTTTGTCACATCGCCTAGAATGATATCCACTACAGCGAACTGCACACTTCCTGTTATCACAGGTTTGCAAAGTGCACTGCAATTGGAGATGCTCTTACAGTTTGGAGGCGCGTTCATTGTACGAGCTAGTACCGTGTTTTGTGTGCATATGTCTCCAGCGTCGGCTGTTGTGGGCTACCGTACCCAAGTCGACCATGCCTCGGTCTGGTGGAACTACAGGAACACACATCACACCCATATCTACCAAGACCTCACACAGCACTGCCGGTACCACATCCACGAGCCAGAAAAGTTCTGGCAAGGACAAAAATGCAGTCTCAGTTGCCAAGCCCAACACCGCTGATGCATCCGATAAGGAAAAGGACCAGGATAAGGACAAGGACAAGTCTCCGAAGGAGTTGGATACGAAGAACAAGATTTCTCCAACACTAGAGGAAGTTGGTAAGATATTGATGCGTGAGTTGTGCTCATAGACATGCAAGTATCGTGCCGTCAACCTGGCAGGATGCAGGTATCGTGCCGTCAACCTGGCAGGATGCAGGTATCGTGCCGTCAACCTGGCAGGATGCAGGTATCGTGCCGTCAACCTGGCAGGATGCAGGTATCGTGCCGTCAACCTGGCAGGATGCAGGTATCGTGCCGTCAACCTGGCAGGATGACAAGGCAAAATAGTAAAGCTATGTATGGACACTGAAGTTATGCTAAAACTCACTAAATGTTTGGGGCACAATTTTTAGTTCCTTCACCATTACTTCTGACTGTGAGTCTTATCAGGTCATTTGAACAACCACTCTCGCACTCTTTCACACTAGGGTCACTCGAAGAGACAACGGAGGTCAGATGGAGTAAAATGTAGTCCGAGTACAACGCCTCATAGCCAGCAATCGCATGTCATCACGTACATTCAAAATCAACATAATTTTGCGAATCGACCTTTTTTAGAGGATCACTTTTCAACGAGGACGAAGCAAAGCCGGCCGAACGAAGCCTAGAGGAAGAAAATCACCCTCTCCACTTCACCATCACGATACTGACATAGATACGAGATGAAACAACTAAAAAATCCACAAGAAAACAGTACGGCCATCATCGCGCTGACTTTGGTCTGACTTTGGTCTGAGAATTTCTATCACAATCAAAAATGTACCAGGAGCACTCAAAAATAAGCCACAGACGTACCTTTATCGCGATCTACTCCTTTTTCAAGGCACAAAAGTCAACTCTCCACTTTCAAACCAGGAACCAGACATACCAGTGGTCCTTTTCAGCTGCTCCACGAGCGCAGGAAATGTTCACCAAGGGGCGCAGAGCAGCATCCATTCCGGAAAAAGAGCTAAAATACGAGTGAGACTGCATGACTGAGTACATGAGTACATGAATAAGTACATGCAGAAAATAGTCAATTTCAGCGTTTCTGCTCCAAACAGCAACTAGCTTTGACTAGAAACAAAGATTACACCAAAGGACCAAACAACAACCATTTTCTGCAGTTTTTTTGCAGATGGCTTCCTTGTGCTTGGCCCAGCACGCCAAAAATCACACTTCGGGGGAGTACAAAAATTACAACTCTCAGATGTCCTCGATTGCTGGCCATGTGGTAAATCCAATGCCAATTCGGAGAAACGGAATGGTCTCTCACTTCAACCGAGCCTTTCTACAGGACCATACCTGTGAAGTGTATAGTTTCACAATGCCTACTTACATTGTTCTACCTTGGTGACCTCTGATCATGGTCTTTGTGTGTTTGCTTGTATCAGCACAAAAGATGGCGCTTAGTTTGGAGGAAGAAGAGGTTCCTGCACCAGAGTTGCTTAGTGAAGAGGTACAGTTCAACGCTCAATGGTCTGTGATCCGACGGGAATTGCAGAAATCTGGAAAGCGACGCTTCAACTTGTTTGCTTACGGTGAGCAACTTAACCACATCAGGCCCATGTATCTATAGCAACTTAACCACATGGCCCATGTATCTATAGCAACTTAACCACACGGCCCATGTATCTATAACGAGTTATCCTGTTAATTATAAGCTTACACAATAGTAACTTTTTTGACACACTACCATTGGGTTTGCATGCGACAATCATGCATAGTTGGTTTTTGGTTAATTTTTGATTTATGTGTTTTGTTGCATTGCTGGCCGTGACTGATTATCCGCAGGTGGTTTAACTCAAGCACTGCTGGCATGCAAGATTGCACACCTGTGGCCCGAATCTAGTGTGTTGTTGGTCATAAAGCCATCATCCGTTGCTGCATTCAATCGATATCGGTGAGTGTGAGACGAACACAGTTTTTAGGCCTTCCATTGCTCAGCCGTTGCATCCTCTCAGCTCTTATTGATCATACCTTGGCAAGGGATCATCTGTAGCTTTTAGGGCAGTTCTAACTTAGGCAACCATGTAATATCCATTATTTTTTACACATATTTTCAAAGACCCACTCCTCAAGATACGCCAATCATCAGTTTAAACAAGTTATCTGATGTTCCAATAGTGCCGAGGAAGTTATCTGATGTTCCAATAGTGCCGAGGAAGTCTGTCACTTGACACATTCATCTACGGTGTGAAGCATGTCATGTGACTCATCGTTTAACCGCTTCTTCCCAAAGTTGGCTCTACCTGTTTATGATAATAGTATTATGCTACGAAGTGCTAAAATAGATGTAATAGGACGTTAGCAAGCCCATGACGAAATTAGCTAAGGATTTCACATAGAAAGATGTCTGCTTCAGCTCAGTTGATGTTGTTTGTCAAACCGGTCACTGTTCTAAACCAGGACATTGCGATCCACGCTGAAGCTGTCCAATATAATCGGCAGCATGCAGGAAATAACCCCCAGCCTGTCACTGGCTATGGAGGAAGAGGCTGATGTTGCTGAATTTCAGGTTAGTGTGTCTACTGCTGTGCGACAGTCACACACACCACCAGTCTACACTACCATCCCTCAGCCACACACACCACCAGTCTACACTGCCATCCCTCAGCCACACACTAGCCTATACTGCTGTCCCTCAGCCACACACTAGCCTATACTGCTGTCCCTCAGCCACACACTAGCCTGCACTGCCGTCCCTCAGCCACACACTAGCCTATACTGCTGTCCTTCAGCCACATACTAGCCCATACTGCTGTTCTTCAGCCACTCGGTAGCCTATACTGCTGTCCCTCAGCCATACGCTAACCTCTTCTGCCGTCCCTCAGCCACACACCGGCCTGTACTGCTGTCTGACAGCCACACACCAATGATATTGAATGTTATCTTTTCATTGAGTGGACACAAATCAGCATTCAAGATGGCTTAGCTTATCATTCTGTATGAATTGTAAAGCGCGAACAGAACCCCTACCGCAATCAACTGCATGTTGTTGGTGCAGGTTTCTAGCTTGGAATGTTACACAATCACATGTATACTGCAGGAATATCCTAGGCATGTGTTCCTCTTACATTTTACTGATGCAAGGAGAATAGGCATGTAGGGCTCCACAACTTTGCCCGTGACTGTTCTTGGCAGATCCTTGGTGCACCAGTCTTCTCCGGACTGATTACCGATGCTCCTCACTTCATTCCTCATCTGTCACGGCTACTGACGTTTGCGCGGATCACATTCCTGGAGCTTCCATCACCCAAACAGCTCAATCTATCAGCTAGCCTGCTACATTCTGCCGGGGATCCAGCCCTTAATCCAGCACAGCCTGTTCTGAGGGTAAGGTATGATGCTTGTCGGTACACCAGTTATTCCACACGGCTTGATAATAATAATTATAATGTAACTTAGTGGCTTAGTCATCATGAAGAACCTTAAGAAGTTGGAATGCTGTACCATTGGTGATGGTTGCTTGCCTGGACTTCTGACAACATGTGCCCATTCAGCTGGAGTCTGTCTCTTCTTCAGTTGGCATTTGACTGTCTCATTGTCGTGTTGTAGGAACACGGCCTTCAGACACCGAACCGGTTTGCGGGCCCTGGCCAGACCACTTTTCACCTCCGGCTGTCCCTGAGAATCGTCTGAAATTGATCTCAAACCATGCTGATCACTTTCAAATACAGAGTTATATTTCACAGTTTGTTTAACTAGGTTCTTGGGTATTGGGCTGGTGTTTTCTGTGATGGACAACTGGAAGGGGGGGGGGGGGGGGTGTTCTGTGGTGTTGAGCTGGGGGCTGGGTAAATGCCTGACAACTCCAAACCTGTTGTGTAGAGAAAGATTGAGACACAGTACAAAAACTACTAGTGCTGATGATTAAGTGTTTCCTAGGACCCCCCCCCCCCCCATTATCCCTTTTCTCTTGTCTGTACTCCATGTGAAGAGAAGGCTTTAATTCCCGTAGCTATGCAAAAGACGTTACTTCAGTAACGTCTGGCACTAGCCAGGGTCCACACAGCTTTAATTCGGTGTTTGTTTGTTTGTGCCATCGGCATTCCGGGTGCAATCCCGTACCGTACCGTACCATCAAAGACAGCTGGCCACAAACCATGCAAACAGCTGGCCGCAATATTCAAATAGGGTTTTCAAATGCAAGATCATAACGTGAAGCAACTTGGAAGAATGAGCATGTATGCAAAATGTATCGGGGGAATGCATGGAGGGCGATAGTGTCGCGTACGCGATCTCCACATTTAATATTTGAAACCTAAAACATTTACACACGTTACGTAATTTCTCGCAGGACGCGAGCTCTCATGTTTTGATAACCAAGGCGCATGCTTGCGCTTCTGGGCCTTTTTTCTTTCCTCGGTTTGGAAAAGAGAGTTCGAGAATCCCGAAGAGTTTGGAGTATTTGGAGTGTATGTGCCTTATGATTAGAGTGATGGAGAGAGATCTAGAGTGTGAGATTTAGAGGCTCTGGTGAGAGAAGATGCATGACCCAAAATTAGAGTGGTAGTCCTTGAGTGTGATTGTTTTATAAGGCCAAAACAAAAAATAGGCTTGTTTCTGGTCGGCAACCCCTCAAAAAGGAGACTCGGTCGGCCGGAATGAAACTTTTTTGAATATTTTTTTTTGGTTCCTCAATCGTTGTGGTATTGATGGACAAGAGCACCTACACATGTACATTGTACATACATGTATATCATGGCAAGGATCAATGTGAAAGTTGACTGACTCACTGTTCTTGTACAGCATGTGGTGTATTCCTGTTTTCGTACATCCTGAGAAATCAAGCAAACAGTTCGAGTCCTTCCAGCTCCGTTATTCTAGCTCGTATCGACCCCATAGGTTTTCGAGCCGACAGCTGAGAATCTCTGCTACCTTGTAGGTGTTTCGATTGTGGAATTCGGTTGAGATTTGACGAAGTTATGACTCGTTGAGTGCACTTGCACACATGGCATTGCCACCGTTTGTATACATTTGGGACCAAAAAAAAGTTTCAGAATTTGGGAAAAAGTGGCCCGGTCGGGCGACCGGAAACAAGGTCATTATTTGTTTTGGCCTAAGTAAGGTACATTTCAGTCTTATTTCTCTCCCGACAGATAGTGCGGGTTCGAATCTCAGGTTGTCTTGAAAAAAAGGAGAAATGAAAAATTTATGACATCCCTATGCTTTTTTTGCCCAGGTCATCAAGGTGGTAGACGGTGTCGTTTTAGCCTCGACCGTACCTGTCCCGTACCGTACCGTACCATCAAAGACAGCTGGCCACAATGCTAGTATTCAAATAGGGCTTTCAAATGCAAGATCATAACGTGAAGCACAGGGGCGTCGGAAGGAGATTTCAAGTGGGGCGGCCAATTGTGAAGGGGGGGGGGGGGGGCGACGGCGGCTAGGCAATTGAACGCAATAGTACAATGAACACTACAGCAGGAGGGAGGGGGGGGGGGGTACAGTCAGCCCACCAGTGCACACTAAGACCATCATAGCCAGGAAGAGGTCAAATGCATGCCAGTTATGTCTTGACAAGCGCAAGTCTTGACAACTGCATGAAGTTGGAGTCGGAGTCGTCACCGTGACCACGTAATGGTGGCGTGCGAGAAAGCGCAGCGAGGACAGTATCTTGAGGAAGCAGTGCCGGTTCTCTACTTTCTCGCGCTGGTGTTGCGCTGACTGGCTCTCTCCGATGTCCACTACCGCGCCTGGTAAACTCACAACTTTCAGGACAGCTTCCTTATGACACTTGGAAGCAGGTGAAACAAAACACTACATCTCTGGCCTCAGAATACTGCAGCCATGACCAACGATCAAACCGCTTGGCCTTGAAAGCACGTTTCACGACGGACTTCTTCTCAAACTCTCTTTTCGGAAAGTCAAAACCTCTTGGTTGATGGGGCGCATCAGGAACTACTTCAGCCTCCGCCATGATGAGCGCACCATAATCAAACTAAATTTATGAAACTAAGTTGGAGCAGAACGGCGTTCTGTCTGTAGTGACTAGTGTTAGGGAAAACCTGCCTGCTGCAGTAACGCGATTATGTTGCGAATCGTGCATGCTAAATTAGGTTAGATGTGCCACTAGACATGTCCGGTTGTCACCGACCAGCAGCCAGCAGCTAGAGCAGCTAGTGTACGCACTGAACCCAGAGGTTACGCAGGTACATGTACATGTATGTACTTCAAAGTTCAGCGAAATACGGCATTCTGCACCACGTCACCACACGTACAGATGTGCACTGCATATACTGCATGCATGCATGCTGTGTGCACTTACCCCCCCCCCTCCCCTTCCCCCCAAAAAAATTGGCCCGGAAAGTGGGGCGGCCATGGCCGCCCCGGCCGGTGTGGTTCCGACGCCCCTGAAGCAACTTGGAAGAATGAATATGTATGCGAAGTATATCGGGGGATGCATGCAGGGCGATAGTGCGGGTTCGAATCCCAGGTTATGTCTTGAGAAAAATAGGAGAAATGAAAAATTTATAACATCCCTATGCTTTTTTTGCCTAGGTCATCAAGGTGGTAGACGGTGTCGTATTACCCTCGAATGCAAAGAGAAAGTTAGTTTGATGTGGCCAATCAATGAAAAAACAACAACATTTCCATCAGTTCTAATAACATGCATGATGAGCTAGCTAGGCAAAAAAGCATAGCGTAGGGCCCTGAGCTTCCAAGCTCTCTCGTTAAAGTGTCCTCATGGATCACTTTGAAAATGTTGTTTTTGAAGAACCTAAAGTGTGCCTTCCTTGTTAATGCGATGCCCCTTATTCCACAATCCCCGTATCCCCACCCCGTATCCCCACCCCTTATCCCCACCCCGTATCCCCACCCCTTATCCACCTTATCCCCCTTTAGGAGACTTTAAAACTTGTAAAACAGGTGATGCATGAGGTGTAATGTCCCGTTGTTCTTGTGCACTACACCGAGTGGACAGCACACACACGATGCGTGAAAAGGTGGGACAGAGACAGGACTGGTTAAATCGTCACGTCGGACCCGTTCGGCAATTTGTTACTGTACAATCGGAGCATGTTCAAGGGCAGTTGGGAGGTTGCCATTTATGAATACAGTGGCACCAGAGTGGCTAATGGGAAATCCATGTTGCAAACCATTAAGGATAAACTCAGAGAGAGAAAGAGAGAGAGAGAGAGAACTATTAGAAATACGAGGCAAAAAAGTCATCAAGCGTGCTAGCCTATGTACATTGGAGTGGGGAGACTACTTCGCTGTGACGGGCTTGTCCGTCTGGCGGGATCCCCGACAACCGTCGTTGGCGCAGCGGGCGGCAGGATGACCTTGGTCACCGCAGGTTGAGCAGACATGTAAGCGTTCACAGGGCTGGTGCTGGCATGGGCGGCCACTGTTGAAGTTGAGGCAGATCTGGCGGGTGCTGCCCGCCCCGGCAAGAAATGGCTGCATAGGACAGCTGATATTGGTGCCAGCTGGACCATGTGGCCCTGCCAAATACTGTGGACAACGATCCCGGCTGTACAGCGTTGGGCGCGCGAGCAGGATGGTTGTGGTGCCCAGATCCGGTGCAGGCTCCAGAGGCTTCGGTCGACTGCATCCCAACGAGCTGAGGTTCCTGCCACCAATGCTCGGAAGGCGCTGTCATATCCCAGTACAGCTGGGGTCACAAGCTGCTGGTTGGCAGTACAGATAATGTGCTGGTATGTCGCCAGCTCCAGTGCTCAGAAGGGCACATATTTCAGTACGCAGGCCTTGTAGGTGGTGTAGGCTTCCAGCCGGGCAGTGAAGTCAACAATAAGGCGCTTCTTTGTCATACATAAGTTGAGGGACACACATCAGCCCTCTCCATTGGCGGTGCTGAGCTCCAAGGGCTTGGACCCTGCGCTCTCATTCTCCGGGAGAAGATACTCCAGCTTCATGTATTCGCGTGTGATTTTTCAAGTCACTTACGCGGGACCATGGGAACAATGGAGCTGGACTCGCGAGTGTTCGCCATGGGCACTGCTATCAGAGGCAGCGCGGGTTGGATGACGGAATTGTCCATGGGGTCGGAATCGACCTGAGGAGGGTGATGGGTGACGGTGTCGGATGCGGTTTGGCCCACGTCTGCCACTGAGGGGACCACCGCTTGATGGCCGTCCGGATCTTGGCGAGCTGAAATTCGTTCCTCAAGGCGCTCGACTCGTGCCAGGAGGGGTGCAGGGCCATCGACACTGCCGCTGTACGAGAACTTGGTCTTTAAACCAGTTGTGAATAAGCTGGCCGGCTGAGGAACAGCAGACGGCATATCGTCTTGCTCCACACGGGCATTGTCGGAACGATCGGCACGGTCTGTAGGGGCTCGATTTTAGGTGTCGGCGTACGGGAACGGCAAGGCGCGACTGGAATGCCTGGGCCGAGAAGCTAACTGCGTACGTGCACGGGACATCTCCATGAGTTATGGAAGACCTTGAGGTTGAGGTTGGGGTTGTGGTTGAGAAAGAAATCCACTGCTAATGTAGACACAGCAAGAACTGAAATCAGGAACAGTGAACTAAGGAAAGCAGTGAGCGCGTGAGAGTTTGGTGGGAACAGAGCATGCGCGCGCCTTCTGTGCTAACATATTTTTGCGCACACGCAAAACTCATGTTGTTATCCGTGATTTAGATTATTGCTTCTGTGACATTTTGGTCTTCTTGTTTTAGAGCTTGATACACCGTAGCCTACTGTTGGCAGGTGCCAAGGCAGCCATGAACTTGCTGCCAGTATCGGCTCTGGAACATGATATGTGGCTGAGTGGCTATCCGATACTCAGGATTAATATCACGGCTCTGGAACGAAAGGTAAGGATCTCCTGCCTCCTTCCTGTCCACACAAACACTCGCATAGCATGGAGATTGACCAAACCCAGTATTTTTCTGTGTTTCTTCAAACACACTTCTTCCGCACTGTTTATATAGGTCTACAGAGAGCATCACATTTCAAGGACGTGTACTTTGTTGCAGTAGCCCACACAATCATCATTGCCCTGTTGAGATTTGAGTTGATGGGGTACTCAGTTATGGTTTCATAGACCGGCGTCCTTGGCTTGTGTCTGCTGCTGTGTACCCAGGTGATGATGGATTGTGCAAAGGGTCAGCAAGGCATGCTGCAATTAATGCCATCCGGTGTATCACAGCTGGATGGTCGCAGGTAAGATTACATAGAGAAGGAACTGCCCCTCTCTTTGTTGTGCCTGTGCTTAGGGGTGCCTTTAACGTTAGTCATGAGCAAGAGAGTGTCACTTTCGAAGATTAGGTCAAGACTCAACACTAAACTGAGGAAGACGATAGGCTATAGGCTTGAGTAGACAATACAAAACTATTCCAACCTAGCAGTGTGAATTGAGTACATTACCATGCCACACCTCGGTCTGATGTACTTTGTATGCAGGCTGTACATTGCGTGGTACGCAGGAGCGTTATTGGAGTGTGGGAAAAGGAAGTTGATCTATACTACCTGTATGCCCAATAAATAGTACAGCTACCGTACTATGAGTACAGACTCTAGTGATTCTACAGAGCTCCCTTACTAGTGAACGGCTACTGAGTGATAGTCATGCCGAAGAGTGAAAATGTAGGTACATTGGACACAACTTTATCTGAAAGTCTTCCAATAATCATTTAGTCTTAGTTAAGCACTCGTCACGTGACCTCAATATGGAGATAAGAAGAACTGCGTGGCTCTTTAGAACATGCCAACAATAGGAACAAGAGCCCAGAAAAGGGATTCTACTGCTTGCTGATGATCATCAGGGACCTTCCTCAAAAGTAGAAAAAGCCTGTGGGAACTCTGTTGGAGAGTCAGGGACGTACGAACCGTCATTTCTATGCCAATTGTCGCACATTTGGAGTCACACTATCTTGCCTAATAAGCTGTCTGGAAACTAGGCATAACTAGATAACTAATACAAAAATACCTCTGTTGTCTCCACGCCGAGCACTTGGATCCTTTGAATTCTTGTTGCGTTGTCTTCATTGTGGGAATTCTGTCATCACTTATAATGGTAAGATCTAGTGTGAAGTCAGTCTATCGACATTGTTGATTTTGTTTGCTTGTGCTTGTGCATGCACACCAGGCTTGGTCGAGCAGGCGAGGCATTCAGCCTGTCACTGCTGCTGCTCATGGGAGTGAACAGCACAGAAAAGTGAGTGGTAACTTAACCGTGTGCTTGAAAGTAACTGACTGAGTGGCGCTGTGAAGCTCTTATATGACAGTCTGTACCAGCTACATCCCGACTGATCACTCGGGGTTGTCGCCATGGCGTTCAATGTGTAATAATGATCAGTAAAAGAGTGCTGGGTCGTACATGTACTTGAGATGAGAAAGCGTATCTCATACTAGGCGTGTTTCTATGTTATCATCCGTTTTGTTGTTCTACAGGCAAAAACTCTTTATGAACTATCTTCGATTGCCTCTGAGTCATGACATGTGCCCAAAGTTCATCAGCTGGTGGTCTGGAGATCTAGTCTACGACTTGCTGTCCAAGCAGCTAGTACCATTGCACAAGTACAAATATGCCAGTGTCAAGGTAAGCTAATGTTTGCACACTATACTGTAATGTGTAGATGCAGTACAATGTTTGGGTACTGTAGTCAACTGAATTGGTCCACGGATTCACACAACCCTATTGTGCAGATAGAACGTATTTCCCATGAAGGCCTGTGATATAGGGTCGTTCAGGTCGTTTAAAGACGCTTCAATGGCCGAGGGTGCAGAAATCGTAGGGCCAAAGCATCTTAGCCACTGCTGCATATGCAAGACACTGACAGTAGTAATCTGTGTGCTTTTGTCAGGCTCTGGTAAAGCTACTTCGAGAGAATGTCGACAAGCGGAAGAACTGGTCTTTCCTCGAGTACGGCAGTGGACTTGGTAAGCTTAGCATATCACAAGTTCTCGGAAACGTACCGATCCTGGAAAGATCTGGGTTAGTTGATAGGGTATCAATGCAAGCCACCGCAAGTCAAGTGCACCGTTTGTGTATAGTACATGGCAGCCCGTGGTGGAGGGAAAGAACCTTTCACTGGTAGAGCTGAAGCTGATGGATTTGATGGAATCCTACTGCCTGCTTATCAACGGGTTGTCGGTATGCTCAGGCAGAACCTGACAGAGCGCGACCCGTCATCCCTGCCAATCCTGGACAATGGTACCAAGCTGCTCCAGAGGGACACCGACAGCTACCAAGTCGGACATCACTGTGTCCTTCCATCGTTTACGGGTTCCATGCAGCAGATGCTTAGACGGCGACGAACCGTACGGCAGCCGACAAGGGATACCCGCACTCGCACATACACATACGCACTCACACATACACACAAATGCACATACAGTGCATACACACAGACTTCAAGATGTACCTTTGCCCTTTTTAGTACCGTCTTCAGACAGAGGGTATACATGCACAGTTATGTGGGTCATTGTGATGTACTCTATGATCTGCCTGCTGGGTATTCCCCTATCTGCCTTGGGTATTCCCCCGGTTACCAATAATTGGCATGAATCTACAAGGGAGACAGACACATTGTTTTGTTCTTCTCTGGATGTTTGTACCAGAATGCCTCTGGACTGGCTCGGATCCAATGTTTCAGTAGTTCTGTGTTCCTTGTTTGTGTTTAGCAAATGCTACCACTGAACTAGCTGCGGCGTACCGTAACAGCACTTTCATTTCTCTGGAGGCATCGATGAAGACGGCCTTCAAGCAACAGAAGCGCTTGGATGTAAGCAATGCATGACTATATCGTTGAATAATGTTATGTAAATCAGGGAGTCATAGGACAAAGGAGGACGACACGCACATTGTTTTGGGTGCTGTGATCTCGTGTCAACTTCCTGTATACTACAATTCCCTGTATGCTACAATTCCCTGTGTACTGCACCTCCCTGTATACTACACCTCCCTGTATGCTAAAACTCCAGATGTGAGTGCACTGTGACTACTCGAGTAAGAGCTATTAGCTGATGTCGCATGTGACATGGACACTGCATCATGTCATTGCACAACCATCAATCATTCTTTGCTGACATTTCAATGTGCAGGAGTTGAAGATCACAAACATGGTGATTGGTTCAATCGAGAGTGACCAGAACTTACTGCGTAAACTCCTGGAGAGTCCTGATATGATGCGCTACCAGATGATTGGTAAGTTAACAGTCCTGTGTACATCACTGCAAGGTTGGATGTGTACATCACTGCAAGGTTGGATGTGTACATCACTGCAAGGTTGGATGTGTACATCACTGCAAGGTTGGATGTGTACATCACTGCAAGGTTGGATGTGTACATCACTGCAAGGTTGGATGTGTACATCACTGCAAGGTTGGATGTGTACATCACTGCAAGGTTGGATGTGTACATCACTGCAAGGTTGGATGTGTACATCACTGCAAGGTTGGATGTGTACATCACTGCAAGGTTGGATGTGTACATCACTGCAAGGTTGGATGTGTACATCACTGTACTACTTTTTTCTCTTTTACGTTTACTTTATACCAGGCGTGGGCCATCCCCTGTACATAGGTGCCATCATTTTTCTTTGTTTCAATAAAATTGTGTTGTTTTTTTTAACGACAGAACGAAAAAAAAAAATGTGTACATCACTGCAAGGTTGGATGTGTACATCACTGCAAGGTTGGATGTGTACATCACTGCAAGGTTGGATGTGTACATCACTGCAAGGTTGGATGTGTACATCACTGCAAGGTTGGATGTGTACATCACTGCAAGGTTGGATGTGTACATCACTGCAAGGTTGGATGTGTACATCACTGCAAGGTTGGATGTGTACATCACTGCAAGGTTGGATGTGTACATCACTGCAAGGTTGGATGTGTACATCACTGCAAGGTTGGATGTGTACATCACTGCAAGGTTGGATGTGTACATCACTGCAAGGTTGGATGTGTACATCACTGCAAGGTTGGATGTGTACATCACTGCAAGGTTGGATGTGTACATCACTGCAAGGTTGGATGTGTACATCACTGCAAGGTTGGATGTGTACATCACTGCAAGGTTGGATGTGTACATCACTGCAAGGTTGGATGTGTACATCACTGCAAGGTTGGATGTGTACATCACTGCAAGGTTGGATGTGTACATCACTGCAAGGTTGGATGTGTACATCACTGCAAGGTTGGATGTGTACATCACTGCAAGGTTGGATGTGTACATCACTGCAAGGTTGGATGTGTACATCACTGCAAGGTTGGATGTGTACATCACTGCAAGGTTGGATGTGTACATCACTGCAAGGTTGGATGTGTACATCACTGCAAGGTTGGATGTGTACATCACTGCAAGGTTGGATGTGTACATCACTGCAAGGTTGGATGTGTACATCACTGCAAGGTTGGATGTGTACATCACTGCAAGGTTGGATGTGTACATCACTGCAAGGTTGGATGTGTACATCACTGCAAGGTTGGATGTGTACATCACTGCAAGGTTGGATGTGTACATCACTGCAAGGTTGGATGTGTACATCACTGCAAGGTTGGATGTGTACATCACTGCAAGGTTGGATGTGTACATCACTGCAAGGTTGGATGTGTACATCACTGCAAGGTTGGATGTGTACATCACTGCAAGGTTGGATGTGTACATCACTGCAAGGTTGGATGTGTACATCACTGCAAGGTTGGATGTGTACATCACTGCAAGGTTGGATGTGTACATCACTGCAAGGTTGGATGTGTACATCACTGCAAGGTTGGATGTGTACATCACTGCAAGGTTGGATGTGTACATCACTGCAAGGTTGGATGTGTACATCACTGCAAGGTTGGATGTGTACATCACTGCAAGGTTGGATGTGTACATCACTGCAAGGTTGGATGTGTACATCACTGCAAGGTTGGATGTGTACATCACTGCAAGGTTGGATGTGTACATCACTGCAAGGTTGGATGTGTACATCACTGCAAGGTTGGATGTGTACATCACTGCAAGGTTGGATGTGTACATCACTGCAAGGTTGGATGTGTACATCACTGCAAGGTTGGATGTGTACATCACTGCAAGGTTGGATGTGTACATCACTGCAAGGTTGGATGTGTACATCACTGCAAGGTTGGATGTGTACATCACTGCAAGGTTGGATGTGTACATCACTGCAAGGTTGGATGTGTACATCACTGTACTACTTTTTTCTCTTTTACGTTTACTTTATACCAGGCGTGGGCCATCCCCTGTACATAGGTGCCATCATTTTTCTTTGTTTCAATAAAATTGTGTTGTTTTTTTTAACGACAGAACGAAAAAAAAAAAATGTGTACATCACTGCAAGGTTGGATGTGTACATCACTGCAAGGTTGGATGTGTACATCACTGCAAGGTTGGATGTGTACATCACTGCAAGGTTGGATGTGTACATCACTGCAAGGTTGGATGTGTACATCACTGCAAGGTTGGATGTGTACATCACTGCAAGGTTGGATGTGTACATCACTGCAAGGTTGGATGTGTACATCACTGCAAGGTTGGATGTGTACATCACTGCAAGGTTGGATGTGTACATCACTGCAAGGTTGGATGTGTACATCACTGCAAGGTTGGATGTGTACATCACTGCAAGGTTGGATGTGTACATCACTGCAAGGTTGGATGTGTACATCACTGCAAGGTTGGATGTGTACATCACTGCAAGGTTGGATGTGTACATCACTGCAAGGTTGGATGTGTACATCACTGCAAGGTTGGATGTGTACATCACTGCAAGGTTGGATGTGTACATCACTGCAAGGTTGGATGTGTACATCACTGCAAGGTTGGATGTGTACATCACTGCAAGGTTGGATGTGTACATCACTGCAAGGTTGGATGTGTACATCACTGCAAGGTTGGATGTGTACATCACTGCAAGGTTGGATGTGTACATCACTGCAAGGTTGGATGTGTACATCACTGCAAGGTTGGATGTGTACATCACTGCAAGGTTGGATGTGTACATCACTGCAAGGTTGGATGTGTACATCACTGCAAGGTTGGATGTGTACATCACTGCAAGGTTGGATGTGTACATCACTGCAAGGTTGGATGTGTACATCACTGCAAGGTTGGATGTGTACATCACTGCAAGGTTGGATGTGTACATCACTGCAAGGTTGGATGTGTACATCACTGCAAGGTTGGATGTGTACATCACTGCAAGGTTGGATGTGTACATCACTGCAAGGTTGGATGTGTACATCACTGCAAGGTTGGATGTGTACATCACTGCAAGGTTGGATGTGTACATCACTGCAAGGTTGGATGTGTACATCACTGCAAGGTTGGATGTGTACATCACTGCAAGGTTGGATGTGTACATCACTGCAAGGTTGGATGTGTACATCACTGCAAGGTTGGATGTGTACATCACTGCAAGGTTGGATGTGTACATCACTGCAAGGTTGGATGTGTACATCACTGCAAGGTTGGATGTGTACATCACTGCAAGGTTGGATGTGTACATCACTGCAAGGTTGGATGTGTACATCACTGCAAGGTTGGATGTGTACATCACTGCAAGGTTGGATGTGTACATCACTGCAAGGTTGGATGTGTACATCACTGCAAGGTTGGATGTGTACATCACTGCAAGGTTGGATGTGTACATCACTGCAAGGTTGGATGTGTACATCACTGCAAGGTTGGATGTGTACATCACTGCAAGGTTGGATGTGTACATCACTGCAAGGTTGGATGTGTACATCACTGCAAGGTTGGATGTGTACATCACTGCAAGGTTGGATGTGTACATCACTGCAAGGTTGGATGTGTACATCACTGCAAGGTTGGATGTGTACATCACTGCAAGGTTGGATGTGTACATCACTGCAAGGTTGGATGTGTACATCACTGCAAGGTTGGATGTGTACATCACTGCAAGGTTGGATGTGTACATCACTGCAAGGTTGGATGTGTACATCACTGCAAGGTTGGATGTGTACATCACTGCAAGGTTGGATGTGTACATCACTGCAAGGTTGGATGTGTACATCACTGCAAGGTTGGATGTGTACATCACTGCAAGGTTGGATGTGTACATCACTGCAAGGTTGGATGTGTACATCACTGCAAGGTTGGATGTGTACATCACTGCAAGGTTGGATGTGTACATCACTGCAAGGTTGGATGTGTACATCACTGTACTACTTTTTTCTCTTTTACGTTTACTTTATACCAGGCGTGGGCCATCCCCTGTACATAGGTGCCATCATTTTTCTTTGTTTCAATAAAATTGTGTTGTTTTTTTTAACGACAGAACGAAAAAAAAAAAATGTGTACATCACTGCAAGGTTGGATGTGTACATCACTGCAAGGTTGGATGTGTACATCACTGCAAGGTTGGATGTGTACATCACTGCAAGGTTGGATGTGTACATCACTGCAAGGTTGGATGTGTACATCACTGCAAGGTTGGATGTGTACATCACTGCAAGGTTGGATGTGTACATCACTGCAAGGTTGGATGTGTACATCACTGCAAGGTTGGATGTGTACATCACTGCAAGGTTGGATGTGTACATCACTGCAAGGTTGGATGTGTACATCACTGCAAGGTTGGATGTGTACATCACTGCAAGGTTGGATGTGTACATCACTGCAAGGTTGGATGTGTACATCACTGCAAGGTTGGATGTGTACATCACTGCAAGGTTGGATGTGTACATCACTGCAAGGTTGGATGTGTACATCACTGCAAGGTTGGATGTGTACATCACTGCAAGGTTGGATGTGTACATCACTGCAAGGTTGGATGTGTACATCACTGCAAGGTTGGATGTGTACATCACTGCAAGGTTGGATGTGTACATCACTGCAAGGTTGGATGTGTACATCACTGCAAGGTTGGATGTGTACATCACTGCAAGGTTGGATGTGTACATCACTGCAAGGTTGGATGTGTACATCACTGCAAGGTTGGATGTGTACATCACTGCAAGGTTGGATGTGTACATCACTGCAAGGTTGGATGTGTACATCACTGCAAGGTTGGATGTGTACATCACTGCAAGGTTGGATGTGTACATCACTGCAAGGTTGGATGTGTACATCACTGCAAGGTTGGATGTGTACATCACTGCAAGGTTGGATGTGTACATCACTGCAAGGTTGGATGTGTACATCACTGCAAGGTTGGATGTGTACATCACTGCAAGGTTGGATGTGTACATCACTGCAAGGTTGGATGTGTACATCACTGCAAGGTTGGATGTGTACATCACTGCAAGGTTGGATGTGTACATCACTGCAAGGTTGGATGTGTACATCACTGCAAGGTTGGATGTGTACATCACTGCAAGGTTGGATGTGTACATCACTGCAAGGTTGGATGTGTACATCACTGCAAGGTTGGATGTGTACATCACTGCAAGGTTGGATGTGTACATCACTGCAAGGTTGGATGTGTACATCACTGCAAGGTTGGATGTGTACATCACTGCAAGGTTGGATGTGTACATCACTGCAAGGTTGGATGTGTACATCACTGCAAGGTTGGATGTGTACATCACTGCAAGGTTGGATGTGTACATCACTGCAAGGTTGGATGTGTACATCACTGCAAGGTTGGATGTGTACATCACTGCAAGGTTGGATGTGTACATCACTGCAAGGTTGGATGTGTACATCACTGCAAGGTTGGATGTGTACATCACTGCAAGGTTGGATGTGTACATCACTGCAAGGTTGGATGTGTACATCACTGCAAGGTTGGATGTGTACATCACTGCAAGGTTGGATGTGTACATCACTGCAAGGTTGGATGTGTACATCACTGCAAGGTTGGATGTGTACATCACTGCAAGGTTGGATGTGTACATCACTGCAAGGTTGGATGTGTACATCACTGCAAGGTTGGATGTGTACATCACTGCAAGGTTGGATGTGTACATCACTGCAAGGTTGGATGTGTACATCACTGCAAGGTTGGATGTGTACATCACTGCAAGGTTGGATGTGTACATCACTGCAAGGTTGGATGTGTACATCACTGCAAGGTTGGATGTGTACATCACTGCAAGGTTGGATGTGTACATCACTGCAAGGTTGGATGTGTACATCACTGCAAGGTTGGATGTGTACATCACTGCAAGGTTGGATGTGTACATCACTGCAAGGTTGGATGTGTACATCACTGCAAGGTTGGATGTGTACATCACTGCAAGGTTGGATGTGTACATCACTGCAAGGTTGGATGTGTACATCACTGCAAGGTTGGATGTGTACATCACTGCAAGGTTGGATGTGTACATCACTGCAAGGTTGGATGTGTACATCACTGCAAGGTTGGATGTGTACATCACTGCAAGGTTGGATGTGTACATCACTGCAAGGTTGGATGTGTACATCACTGCAAGGTTGGATGTGTACATCACTGCAAGGTTGGATGTGTACATCACTGCAAGGTTGGATGTGTACATCACTGCAAGGTTGGATGTGTACATCACTGCAAGGTTGGATGTGTACATCACTGCAAGGTTGGATGTGTACATCACTGCAAGGTTGGATGTGTACATCACTGCAAGGTTGGATGTGTACATCACTGCAAGGTTGGATGTGTACATCACTGCAAGGTTGGATGTGTACATCACTGCAAGGTTGGATGTGTACATCACTGCAAGGTTGGATGTGTACATCACTGCAAGGTTGGATGTGTACATCACTGCAAGGTTGGATGTGTACATCACTGCAAGGTTGGATGTGTACATCACTGCAAGGTTGGATGTGTACATCACTGCAAGGTTGGATGTGTACATCACTGCAAGGTTGGATGTGTACATCACTGCAAGGTTGGATGTGTACATCACTGCAAGGTTGGATGTGTACATCACTGCAAGGTTGGATGTGTACATCACTGCAAGGTTGGATGTGTACATCACTGCAAGGTTGGATGTGTACATCACTGCAAGGTTGGATGTGTACATCACTGCAAGGTTGGATGTGTACATCACTGCAAGGTTGGATGTGTACATCACTGCAAGGTTGGATGTGTACATCACTGCAAGGTTGGAGAGAGTATTGTATTGTATTGTATTGTATTTATTTAAAAGGATTCTCCAAAAGCAAATGGATGCTTATCACGGAAGTCTCCCACATAAATATCGCAAGAAAAATGGGGAAATGGGGAGAGGAGAGTGGAAGATGAAGCATGGGAAGAAGGGAAACAAGTACCTAAATATCGAGGTATAAAAGCAGGAAAGAAATCGACGAGGGAAGAAATCACCTCTGCAGATAATAGCGGGACATTTAGATGAAAAAAACCCCAGCAAGGATTAATTTCAAGGAAAAAAATTTCTCAGAGTGTAACTAGGGGACTGATGGACAACAAACAAATCAACTGATAGGGAGAGGGAGACAAAGCAGGAGTGGGTCTTCATTGCAGCTCTGTAACGAATCACCATGGCAGCAATTTGGGCTCTGTGACGAATCTCCATGGAAACAATTTGGGTTGGACGGGTGCAATTGCCGCATGTTCTTCATTCACTGATAACAGTGTGCACGTGTGTTCTGTGTTCTGTCCTGTGGCTTGCGCTGTGCCCTGTTCAACACCAGGCATCGACTATTTCCTCGACATGATTAAAAGGTTCACAAGAGTGGTACGTCATGGTTCACGCACACCGTCATCCATACAGTCATTTACGTTTCTAAGGTGCCTATCTAGGTAGAGTTGTCTGTCTAGCTTCTGCTCTTTGCCTTCATACCCAGTCAGTATCCAGTATCCAGTGTACATATGCATGTAGACTGAGTAGTAGTGCTGTGTTGTCCTGGACTATCCATGTGTGTTCATGGGTTTTGCAGAATTTCAATCAAATGCTAGGAAGTCTATTCTCCACCAGCGTCAGCTCGTTTGTTCAGGTACCAAGTGCAAAGGTCAGTGGATTGTAACTACCGTCAATTTGTTACCGGTCAGCTTATACTAATGCATGCCGCATGATTAGTTGTTTGAGGCAGAATACGGGCATCCACTGTGAACATTGACCAATAGGTCGCCACATGTGGCTGCCTGCCTATTTTTCTGTAATGTTGCGGAGCAGTGTCTGTATGCTTTCCAATCTTAGATTATGAGCCTATGAGACAATGCTTAGCTTGGCAATGCTAAATCAACTGCTTAGCCTATAAATCCTTAGATCACGGTGAGGTTCACACAGTTGGTATGCTTTGTCCTTTTGATACCAATGCTCCCAATGCTTCACATCATTCTGTCTGCCTGTTTCTCTCTATCTCTCTATATCTGTCTCTCTTTTCTCTATCTCTTTCTCTCTCTCTATCTCCTTCTTCTCTTTCTCCTTCTCCTTTTCCTTCTCTATCTCCCTCTCTCTCCTCCCCCCCCCCCTCTCTCTCTCTCTCTCTCTCTCTCTCTCTCTCTCTCTCTCTCTCTCTCTCTCTCTCTCTCTCTCTCTCTCCCCCCCCCTCCCCCATCTCGTCTTTTTATGCTTCAAACATTACAGATGATTTCTCTTGCCTTTCTAACATTCTACCCGGAGGTGCCAAGTGGCATTGGTCCAAGTGAATCGGTATGTCTAACTCCCTGCTCTCTGTTTACTTGCTACGTGGCTGCTATAGCTTCTAAGCTCTATTTCAGTGTTGGACCTGCACTTTCACACAATCAGGTGACCTGTGTCACTTCAGTTTATTGGTGGCCATGTGGTCATCACTGCAAGATGGTAAAATGGGGAAGGTGAAGGTAGCCGAGCCATAATCAATTCTGACCGTAGGGGAAGGAGGTGTTAGAGACCTCGAGGTTCAATGAGCTCCACGTACATGTAGATGATATAAGAAATAGTGATGAAAGTGGTGCTGACTTATATTGTCCGGTTACCTATCCCAGCCCGGTGCCAATATGAGTATTGTTTGTTGCTCCATTTCCAGGGCTCATTCCTGTTGGCCAAGCACCCCTCTCCAGCGTATGAAAATGCAGAGCTGCGGATGATTGGTGAGGTAAGTCAAAGTACATAAACTCGTGCAAATCAGCATTATTTGTATTGCATTAGTTTTGGTGTCTCACGTTGTATATTTGTGATGAGAAACTGTATTTCATGACCTGTCAAGTAAAATTGTACCTGCATTGGTTGTGACAAGGTTCAATGAACCCCCTCATCCTTCACTAGGTGGTGTAATCAAGAGTACCCCCCCCCCCCCCGTCACAGTTCAACTCCACTATCAGCACTGCCCCGGTAGAATTTCAGGTTGACGTCAGCTTTATGATGCAATGCGCATTGCACACCTATTATCATAATTTTGTATCCTAGACCAGTGGTGGACACACATTACCATTTGATCCCATACAAACTTTGTGCTAGCAAACATGTGCAGCAGATCCTTGGCTCTCCATCCGAGTCCATTCTTATGATGTGTATAGCGGGGTTTGCGATGACTAATTGAATATGCGTTGAGCGGATATGGCTGTGTCCTCGATCCGGGGGCAGAATCCCGGCGATTACCGCCGCAATTTACCGGTACGGTACATGTTCACTTCTTTTAGTGCGTACTTCGAGGCCTCGTACTTCAAGTACTTGATTGCCGGGGGATCATTTCCGCTGTGGTGTGATATGTATCGAATCACTCCTGAGCATAGTAATTATTGTAATCTTCTGTACTATTGGAACCTTCCAGAGTGCCACATCATCAGCGCTTAGCAGTGTGGAGTCGCACATTCTCCACCCGCCATACTACAATGAAGATCAAGATTATGGCTGGAAACTTATCCGCGTAAACCTGGCTAATCTCACCACTACAGTAAGCTATTGGCAAGGATGCGATGATTGCTTTGCTTACCCCATTCATTCAATCAGCCCTATGCTGGCTGGCTGCAGGAACAATGTCGCCGATTAAAGTAGTTCGTATTCTAAAGGAGACGAAGATTGTACCCAGTACCCAGTGTTTCCTCAGTGTTTACTCAGTCCTTTCATTGTTCTCACCACTGGGAGAAGCCCACATCTCTTTTCCCCAGCTTGCCTATACTTGTTGTAGTAGTTTACAACAATGTTGGTCTCTTCTAATACCTACGCACTGTGATCCATGCAGGAGTTTATGCAAGTGATGGGTTTTTTCAGGAGAGATTTTATTAGATATATTTTGAAGGACCTGCCACTACATGTACTTGTAAACGTGGAGTTTGCACCATGCCGAAGCAAAGTTGGTGTCTCAAGCATATCCTAAGCCTTTGCTTGATGTCCGTAGCCAGTGTGGAGATGGATGAGCAACATTAATTCATTGAATGTGATGAATGCTGTGTGTTATTCAACAGGTAAATCATCACTTTGACTATGCTGTAGATGGTCATGATCGCAAATACACACAGCACTGTGAGAGCAATGCCACACACTTCCGCATCTACCTAGAGCGGCAGGTGGATGGCTTTGTGATACCGTTTGACCGACTGGAAGGTTAGCACATTCTGAATATGCACTCTACAGTGCTTGCTTTGCTGTTGTTTGCAATGTCCTGTCCATTTCCTCAGCAAACATATCAACATGGAGCTGGACTCTGGTGCTTTATGGCATGCTCCAGAAAGATACGTCTGTATCATTCCCACTCGGATCCGGGATAATTATGTGAATATCTCCCCCCCCCCCCCCCCCCCGATGATGTGGACTAGAACGGCATCCACGCTGTTGGATTTCATCCCACTGGACCACTTGAAGCGCATGTTCATTCTGTGTTGCTGGCCTTGGTGGTTTCTCTCCTTGCTATGGGTACCCAATGCTGTATGGATATAACTATTTGTATACTTCGTTGTATCGCACTTTACCCAGGCATATCCCTAATCGCCCTGTTGAGACTTGGTCTACTGTCTGATGTCAAGTCGCGTCTCTACGAGCAGTTCATCAAGATGCCCCTGTATGAAGACATGGCACCATGGAATATTAGTAAGTCAGTATTGACAGTATGCCGTGCTGCCAACGCAATGCCAGCCGATCAATGTTTTCTTCAGACCTTTCCCATTTGCATCTTTCCCTCGAGCCTATGAAGATCAATGTAACATTTAAAATACCGCTTTACCAGCGTGGATCAAGCATGAAGAGGTGTTTTGCTGAAAGCTAGGGCCAGTCCATGATACTGGTCAATCTTAGCTGACGAACAAACAGCCATTCAAGGGATGAACAAAAGACTCCCAGCCTTGTCAGCAATGATACGGAACACTAGTGGATCTCCAACGGTTCTGCGGTTTAGGTTGTGAGGTTCAGCCGGTGCTAAAACACTAGCTTGGTAGTGCCTTTAAGTGAAGACAGTTGAGCAAGTTTCACATGTTGTCTCATTGTACAATTATTATTCAGCACACACGCACCAATGGTCTCTCCCATTACGATTATGCCTGGCTGTGTGAAGATTATTGTGAGATATCAAAAATGCATGACTTCCATGGTTTCATTCTGGTATTATTCTCCACTATAGTATTCAATGGAGGTCGTCTTGAGTACATTGATTACGACACCAAAGATGTGACGTTTGATAAAATGGTCCCAGCAGCTTATCAGGTTAGTCCAAAGTTGGGTTTGGTGGTGATGGCGGTGGTGGTGGTGGCGGCGGTGGCGGCGGCAGCAGCTGGGGTGGCGGAGGTGTGTGTGTGTATGTGTGCACACATGTCTGCGTGCATGCGCGGGTGTGTATGCCTGCATGTGTTTGTGTGGAGTTACCTGTGTAGAGTCTGTGGACATGTAGTACCTTGGCAATGTGGTAGTCTTTCGGAATTTGTCCCATACTTATCACATGACTGGAAGCCAGATTGCAAAGACAACTCAGTACATTCTACATGCAATGTGATTTTTGATCTTGCTCTGTACTGATAGATCATGTCCGTGCTGATGAACTACCGGCGAACGGTCAAGGATTTTGGTCACTGTAGAGACCATGTAGACTCAGATGCCAAGTGAGTGGTTGTGTCGACATTTTTTTTCTTTTTTTTCTTTCTTTTTTACCCCTCCCTTCCGTTGTCGGCTCATCACCCTCACTTCCTTTGTATTGGCTTAATTTGGTCATGCACCAAGAGGTACTGAAATGATAGGTCATGTGCCAGGAAGTGCTAAAAGAACTGTAAGATCTGCAATGTTCTGCAGGCAAGATACCGTAAAATGTGATTATTGAGAGGTTGTTGGAATGTGACGAGAGAACTGCCACTATCTTAACATTGTTACGATCAGTATCAAGTCGCTTATAGAAATATCTTTGCTTTACAGTCATTTATAAATAGCTCAGTCTATATTAGAATTTTTATTATTATTATTATTGCAAATAACGCTGAGTAATTACACGAATGCATAAAAACCAGCATTTGCTTCCGGGAAGGATTCACAAACATAAGACAAAAACACCATGGCTCAATGTATATTAGAATTGCCATTTCAATTTAATTGATGTGGCCTTTTTTGGGTCTTGCTTTCTCAATCGACCCCAGGACGGCCTACAACTTTCCGTATATGGGATCCTGTGTGGGATCAAGCTTTCACGGCAAATGCAGAGTAAGTTCTGACCTAGCCCGCGTGTATGCCATGGCTGAATACAGGGTTCAGTTCACAGGGCTGCAGCACTTGGTCCGGCTGAATACAGGACCAATTCACAGCTCCGCAGCACCCTGTCAATGGCTGAATACAGGACCGGTTCACAGGGCCATAGCACCCAGTCCGGCCAATCCTGGTGCTACCACCAGACCCTATTTCCAAAAAGTTGACCCTCCCAATTCTTGCAAAACGGGGTTTTCAACAATATGTTCAGGGTTCTAGCCAGTTCAAAATAATAGGGGGGGGGGGGGGGGCAGCCAGGGAAAACTGTTACCTCGTAACCCATTTTTTCAATTTTCAAAGTAACTGTCTTGCAATGCGAAATGCAACGTACGGGGCGAACACCAGACCACACCCCAGACAAATGTGCCTTTATGAACCCTAGAGTACATGACTATCGACCGTTTTTTCATTGAATGGCATGAAAAAACACTCAATAATCGGAAAATGAGTAGGGGGCACTTTTTCACCGGGAGGGGGGGGGGGGCTACTCCCCTTTGGCTAGAACCCTGTGGTTCCGTTTTATTTTTGGCCGGACCACCTGAAATCCCGTTGCTACAGTCCTGGTCTACGTATACCAATACTGGAAGGATTTCTTATGCCATTGTCCCCCGTTTACGGGCAGTCTACTACTTGGCCCAAAGGACCTCCCTCCCCTTGATATTCCAAGCTTGATATTCCAAGCTTGATATTCCAAGCTTGATATTCCAAGCTTGATATTCCAAGCTTGATATTCCAAGCTTGATATTCCAAGCTTGATATTCCAAGCTCTTCTTCGCATACGAGTAACTTACATGCAGCTCCCTTTGTAGGCTCCATAGGTACGTGTGTGTGCATGTGTAAGTGTGTTCTGTGTGTGTGTGTGTGTGTGTGTGTGTGTGTGTGTGTGTGTGTGTGTGTGTGTGTGTGTGTGTGTGTGTGTGTGTGTGTGTGTGTGCGTGTGCGCGTTCTGTGCATGTGGTATGTGTATTTCTGTCCAGAACTCGCAATTCCCGGTACCGTGTGGTGACCACACATGCCGCAGCTCCTATATTGAGGTGAGAAGAACTATGGCGATCACATGACATGCATGTTTAGTCACATGACATGTATGTTAAAAGTCATGTGACATAGTGACGAAGGGTGTCTATTCGGGGAAGGACAGTTGATCATGTATCACGCCTCTGATTTGGAGGGACAAACTTGCCACTTTGCTATTTCGGAAGAGTAACACTATACATGAGTCCAATATGCGCACCGTTGAACTTGACATACACAATGTACATACGAGCGGGGGGGGGGGGGGGGGGGGAGGCAGCATATCCGCTTGTCCTACGTGTATACCGTAAAGTACCGTTGATCCGTCCTCCACGCTGTGTCGCTGTGTCGCTTCCCAGCTGGTTCTTCGGCAGGGGGCGGGAATTAGATCAAGGCTGTTACGTGCAGTACGATGTACAACACCGCAGAAGGTCAGACTCGGTGTGCTGGATTGTGCACATTTTCATCCTTCACTGGCACGTATTGTGCACAGCAGTGCACGCATCGGTTCAACACCATATTTCGTTGGATACGCCGAAGTTGCTTCACAGGCAGAAATTCAACAGGGGGTGGCAATTAGAGAGGGGGGGGGGGGGGGATCGCCGGTACTTTACGGTGCTTGGTAATGTAACCCGTGCAGCGTAACCCGTGCAGCAGCAGTGAGATTGGAATTTGTTCCTGTCACTTAAGTGCAACTTTTCACGGATTTGACCACACGTCGAGAATTCCAGCTGCACAAAATTCCATTGCTGAACTAAAAAAAAAGGCACAGAACGTGTCATTGATCATAGGGGCAGCTGACTGCCTATTGGAATGTACGAGTATGTTGTGCAAGAGTAATGGTGGTGGTGGTGGTGGTGGTGGTGGTGGTGGTGGTGTGTGTGTGTGTGTGTGTGTGTGTGTGTGTGTGTGTGTGTGTGTGTGTGTGTGTGTGTGTGTGTGTGTGTGTGTGTGTGTGTGTGTGTGTGTGTGTGTGTGTGTGTGTGTGTGTGTGTTGGGTGTGTGTGTGTTGGGTGTGTGTGTGTGTGTGTGTGTGTGTGTTTGGGGGGGGGGGGGGGGTGTTTACAATAATTTGTCAATAGAAAGTGCCTAGAGAAACAGATATAATTATATTGTCTGTCTGGTATTACCGATATACTCCTGACAGGACAGGAAACACTGTATATTTACCAATTACCCTTGATAGGTGACAAGAATTCCATAGCAGCTCTCATGAGCATTGAAATTGCTTTTCCAATGGCTGTTGTGGATAGTAGCAAGAGTGAATAAGCTCCCAAGAGTGTGCAACTCTGCATACAGGTTCTCTGATGGCGAAAACTCGCATCACGTGTTCCAAGTACGATTTGTGCTACGTAAAACGAAGACTGGCGTGCACGCTGTCCAAGTATGATGGTGATGGCTCGCATTAGCTGAGTAGGTTTCTGTTAGGGAGTGCCATTTTTTCAACTCCATTGGTCGCTAGAACGGGCTGGGGCGTACAACGGGAGCACTACGCCATGTGATGTGTGTTGGGCGTACAACGGGAGCACTACATAGAAAGAGTATCCAGAGTTGAAGGCTCTTGTGAGCTTATGTACTCTTGGTAATATTGTGAGCGAGTGTGACTAGCATCCCTGTTCGTCGCAACAGCAAATTTGCCCCAAGCACTGCCCAGGTACATGTATGTGCATGTATGCATGCTCGTACATGTGCTCGTCACAGTATAAGTGTGTTCGTACACAGGCACGTCAAAAAATGAAGCAAAATCCTGCATTTTGAGCGAAAAAGAGGGGGGGGGGGGTTCCGGGCACCCAGGAACCCATACGGGGCACGCGCCTGGTACATGTATAATATGTACTTCTGCATGCACCGGTATGCATGCATGCATGCTACAACTCTATGTATGCATGTGCATGTGTAGTCAAGTAGCATTGCATTGTTGTACATGTATGTACATGTACATGTACATGTGCATGTGTATGTGCATGTGTATTTACAATGTTCATTGTGTATCCATGTAATTATCGGTGTATGTGTATTTGCTATGTTCATCGGTGTATCGGTGTATCTGTGTATATCTGTGTATGTGTGTATGTGTGTATGTGTGTATCTGTGTATATCTGTGTATATCTGTGTATATCTGTGTATATCTGTGTATATCTGTGTATCTGTATATCTGTGTATATCTGTGTATATCTGTGTATATCTGTGTATATCTGTGTATATCTGTGTATATCTGTGTATCTGTGCATGTATGTGTTTCTTACAGTGCCTACAAGCACTACTTGAGATGGAGACGAAGAAAGAAAAGAAGATGGCTGTGTTTGGTAAGGCATAATACTAGTTAGACGTGCTGTTGGTAATTATCCTAGCTGGGTTTGGTTATCAGGAGCTAAAATTGAACAGGATAGCTGATTTAATGTCGTCAGGGGAAGCTTCAAGCTAGTTAACTGTAGTAATTAGACACGGATATTGTTTTGTCACGGATCACATCTTTCGATATGTGAATCGTGTTGTGTTATAATTGTTTGGGTGCGTCCTCAGTCAGGACGACATATGTGTCAAGCACTGAAATATCAGCATGTTTATTAAGTATCCATATTTCAACCCAAGCATCGCATCCTTTGCATCTCTAATTGGCACTAGCAGTGGCAGCTGTTACAAGCCAGGCTGATGTGTATTCAGCTTGCTGCACGTAACCTTTATTTACTCAAGGCTACTTCCTGTGCTACAGCTAGAGTCACCTACCCTGCTTCCAAGGAAGTGGGGTACATACTAATTATAACTCCCGCCACTGCTAACGTAGGCCATTCCAGCCTCAAGATGGGCATTCTCTGAGCAGGAACCCATTGCCATAGACCACCATTTCATACACCACTTTCCTCCTTGGTCATGCTTGAGCGGAATCTGTCTGCCACATGCTGTGCCAGTCACCGGATCTGCGCCTGCAAAAAGATTTATGCTACTTTTCCTCCTTCCTGGGGTTTCTGCTGGTGAGCTCGGGCGTAGAAGAGTGCATGTTGTAGCCAGCTGCAATGCAGACAATATTTAACCGTGCGCTGTGCTTCAGTCTCCTGAACACCTATTGTTGTCTATAATGTGCTATCGAGAATCTAGGAAGTTGGTGCTGGCAACCTGCATATTCAGGTGCCACGTTACTCCTGGTTCGCTTGTGCTAGCTCTATTTCGGGCCTATCGGAGTTTCTCGTCTAGATCAAGATATTGGATAGCAGATGCCCCATAAAAGGACAAGGACCCAACTCGTCCTTACATTTACAATTCTACCAAAGGGAAATTATGTAGCACTAAACTGGGCATAATCAAACATACTTCTGATTAACTACATGGAGCATCCATGTTTTCTTTTGCTGCAAGTTTTTTGCTTTGGTGAACCTTGGTGGAGTGCTCTTTAAAATTCTGAAAAGAGGAAATACCGTAGGCTGAGAACTACCCACAACAGATGGCGCTGGAACGAATGACAGCATAGCAGACAGGGAAAATTGACTGGAGGGATCATTTCTGCACTTCACATCTGCTTGTTCTGTGCAGTTGGTATGCAACAAGTGTGAAATTGCTGGTCTTCAGTAAAATTATTATAGCTACATGGTAATCCTTGATCAAGTGTAATGTCATGAAAACCACATTCCTCTGCAGTGCACCTGGCTAGTTAAATTCTACATGTATGTCTGCCCATGATAATAATGCAGTCTCAACTACACGTAGTTGGGACCAGTAATTATTACCCTGCCACTTGTTATCACCCCTGCTAGTACTAGTGGCAGGCTAGGAAACACGTTCTTGTGCTAACTGCTAGTATGGTACTTGGTAGTAGGCTACCCTAGCCAGGGCAGTGGCAAGCATAGTGACGGTGCATGCGGCATGTACACGTATCATGACATATTTGTGTGACAGGGAGCATAGGTTCTGGGTGTATCTGTTACCAAGGGATTGCTGCACTCATAAGTGTGTGTTTGGGGGGGGGGGGGTGTTAAAACCCACATACCCCTACCGTACATAGAGGAAGGACTTGCATGACTCATGAACTGGATGATCCTATGCCAGGCTAGGCTAGAGTGTGAGCAGTGGAATGATAATAGACCCTGTGTCTAAGAGATGGTTTCACACAGTTCAGCTATCAGTCATTTCAGTGTATGAATGAAATTGCAGTCTAGGAGTAGGAGGAAACAGAAATTCAAAGTTTGATTGCCAGGCAACACTGGACTTCACCCCTGGCCTTTAAATTGATGAGCTATGCTTAGGCAGGGATGTGAAGTTATTTTGACAGGCTTTGAACTTTTGCGCAAGTGCTCCCATAAGTCACTCCATGCCTCAGGTTTGAATGGCTGACCAGCAGTACAGCAGCAGTACAGCACTACATCCCCACTTGGTATGGAATGTGTGAATGTTTGTGTGTGCTGGGTGTGGTGAGCTGTTACCAGCTATCAATCGTGGTCATAGCATATTCAAAGGGAACATTTACCAACCAACTACTTACTCCGGTGGGCATAAGGCTGAGAAAGTCTGCATTCCTTCTCAGCATGCCTATGAACTGCAGAACTACACTGTCATAGCAACACTCTCATTTCAGCATCATTGAGCATAGGAGTAGGAATCTGCATGAACAGTTGGAGGGGGGGGGGGGGGGGGGGAGGCATCCCACTTTTGCACACAATAAATCCCATGATGGGAATGTGAGAATGTCATCTTTACATGCCAGTATGTATAGTGCTTGTATAAGTTGAGAATGCCCATCACCTAAAACAGCCAGTGGTCCTTCATACCAGCTCCATTGATCTGATTGAGTTATTGAGCTTCTCAAGAGGAATCAGGGCCGGACAGTGCACCCAATGGTGGCCAAGGAGGTGTTGGAGGTGTCTGTTTGTAATTCCGTCCAGCAGGGGTCTCCTGGGGGTGTGCAGGGCATTGCTCAGGTGACTAGGACCATAGCTGGATGTCAACACTGACTATGTGCACAGCAAGCTAGTCCGCACCACTCCTGCAGCTTGCACTGACCCATGATGCAGTACTATGGTATGGCCAATAGGCAGTACTGGTATACCTTCTGTACTAGAGATACTGGAAATAGCACTAGAGTCCACAGTTCATGTGGTGAGGAGCACTAGTGCTCCCAGCTGTGTTGCCTCCATTTTCCGGGTTTACACACTGCATACCTGTCATGGTTGCATGCGTCACCAGCATGGCATTCCCGCCTTACATCCACAGCAGGATCTAGGATGATCTACTGCAGGAAACGGCAATGATAAAGTGGCCTGGCTTGCTAGTAGTTCCCAGAGTGTGGTGATGGTGGATATGATGGAGTATATTGTTGTACGCAAGTGTGATGGTGAATGGTGGTCACTTCACTGATCAGTTATGGCTCTTGTATGGTTGACAGTAGTGATATCCTTATGGGTACTGTCATAGCTTCCGTGATTATATCATGGGCAGAGCTGCACGTGGGAAGGCAGCCTGAGCTAAAGACATGTACCGCATGTATGTACCGTAATGGTGTTAGTGAGTGTGTATGTGTTTGGGGAGGGAGGGGCTATGCTGTGACATGTGGCATACACGTGGGTCATGTCAAGAAATAGTATGGACAGACTCAGCTCATCTAGCTCAGTGTCCTAGTATGTGCACCAATAGGAGTACTACCTTTGTAGTTAATTACTGAGGATTAGGCTAAACAAATCACCTTTAAGTACTCTTAGTACATATAGTATGCACCTCCTTGTCATTGGCTGGTCCTCGGTGAATACTGATTCTAATATTGCCACTGAGACTAGCGTGGTGGTTCACGGGAGGAGTGGGCTGGGTGCATTACTCCATTAGTGATGTTGCCTTGTTGGAGTGTGTGTGCGCAGTGCAAGTCTGTCATAATCCTATTAGTACCATGATAACTGCTTTAACAGAGCAGTGGCCAGTGCACATAGGGGCAATGAACAATTAAGTCTCACTTGTGTCATGAAAAGGGGTACCCATGTTGCTTTCTTCCCTAAAAGCCTAAAGCATCCGGATACAGGCTGCTTGTGATATGTGGCACTTGCCTGTGCAATGCTTCCCAACTGTGCCCTGAACTAATAATGCTTAGTGCTTGTACAGCTTTGGGCTCATTCCAGCTGAGGTGCCCGGTCCCTGTGTAATTCTAGAGCCCGGCTGACCATTCACTCTGAGAGGAATCCATTACAGTGGTATTTGCCATGTGACCTCGACTGTGATCAGAGAATTCACTGCAAACCTACACCATCATCTGCTTCCGGTTGTGCCCTCAGCTGCATTTCTGCCCACCGAATCCTAAAACTCAGAATATTGCAACAGCCTTTCATGCTGCATTGGCATTTTCCTCCATTGTATATAGCCCCAGCTACACCAGGTGACCATGTACCAGTCATATCTTGTGCGTATTTGCCTCCAGGCAGGAGAGATGTGCTCATGTCATAAAGTGCCAGGGGACCGGCAATATAATCAAACAGCTTTTGTTTTCAAAAGAGATCATGTTTGCTTCGTGTCCCTCCCTGCCTTGTGTCCTGGTCTGCCTTACTTCTTTGCCTTTCATGGCCGCAGTAGACCATGGGATGTTCCTCAGCACTTCTTCTCCACAGAGGTTGACTGCCTCTGGGCACTGGTTGAGTCTGTGACTGCTTGGGTTGCTTACACGACATGTCATGCATCTTGAGGTCTTTCATTCATGTGCCACTGCTATGCAGATTACACAGCATCCAGACAGCCAGGTGGTGGAGGACTCAAGGACACTGTGAACACTATCAGCTTCTCAACATCTTCTCCCTTCGACAATGGCCATTGGGTGAGTTTCAATTTCTGTGGCGAATCCCATCACGTTTTCGCTGCACTTAATTCCTCTTGCCCAATCAATGTGTCACTAGAGCAGGGCTATGTGAGACGTTCCAGAATCGTCCAATCAGCATTGATGTCAATCCCTGACTCAGTTCAAATTATCCTAACGGCCACTGTTTGACAGCTCACCATTGATGTGGAATGGGTCCAGTAGCCTAGCTAGCAGAGTGGTCCCCAATGGATCAAGTCATGTTGAAATGGGCCTCTGTAAACATCAGTGTGCACGTTAACTACACGTTCTCAACAGATTATAGAGATTTCGTGTTGAGATGGGCCCATACCAGTTCGTTCTCCTCATAGAGGGCATGGGTGGCACGGGTGATGTGCATGGTAGGCTACTTACTTAGAACTTTCATTACAAGATTGGATAATCAGTGGTGCCACTGCCCCAGGCTCCCAGCAGACTATGAATCAGGTCTATTGGGCCGCTAGACTGGCATGCACATGTGCACAACTCCTGAAACGCATTAAGTGCCCTGTGCGGACACATGTAGTTGCGTGAAGTGGTCAAACTGAAGGTGCCCTACACAGCCCTACACATTCCGTCACGTTCCTTCCTACTGTGGCCCTAGTGTGGGTAAAGTATGTGCTGAAAGTACAGGTGTGGCACCACTGTGAGATTGTCGAGGCTCTAACCAGCTACCCTGGTCATAATACTGGCATATTGTACTTCTGCAAGAGGGCAGTTAACGGTTCAATCCAGTTTAGTGCACTGACAAGCACTCGCCACTTTATCCTGCCTTCTTTCAGAAGTTGGAAAGCTTTCTGTAGGCAGGTGCTCTCAAGTCCCATGGCACACTTGTCGTTGATACCCCCCCCCCCCCCTCCTCCTAGTGTAATAGGCTGCTCGCTATGAACTCAGTGCGGGACTCCAACTCCTGATCCTGGATATGAGTCCTGCTACTGCTATGATTTTTATGTGGGGAGGGGGGGGGGGCTGTACCACGGCTCTCTGTGGGCACTCTGTGGAGTGGCTCACATTCTGTTATGGGAATGCATCAGCTGAGTTGTGCTGACACTCTCACCTAATTGGGCAGAGCTGAAGACCTATTGTGAGCAGGGCAAGAGCGATGGAAAGAAGCTGGAATGTTGTTGAGAACTCAAGTACACCTACTTATCACCCCTGACAAAGTGGGAAAATTCCAGCCCAAGGAATGTGTGTGTTTTGTGGATTCTGCCCTGTCACTGCAAGACTTAGTGTTATCTAGTGTCAGAAAAAGACTGGATTCCCTACTCCAAGTGCTGCTGTATGTGAAAACCAGCATTTTAGGACTAGGGCCTACTAGGGGTACTGTAACAATGTCAGTCTGGGTTCAGTGCATGTGCTGTCAGTCAAGGGTCAGATAGATTGTGGGCTTGCAAAATAAGTTATTTGGCCATTTCGGATTGGGTTGAAATTCTCTTGTTTAGTTCTAGATTTACCCCACAGTTCTGAGCTAAGGATACTTCTAAGTTCTAATTGTAAGACTGGTTTGGGTGTGGAACAATATGACTACTATAGGCTTTTGAGTGGGCATGCTACATGATTACTATGAGTACTCGTACTCATCATACTCTTACTAGTAGTAGTAGTGAATGCTTCTTAGTAATTGCCTCAGTACTGGTACATGTATGTCTGCTAGTACTGTGACTACCTTAGTAACTCACTCTCTTCATGGTATGACCAACATGTACATGGTCAGAATGGACTCCCCCTCCCTCTGTCCCCATAATGTGGTCACAGTGGAGTACAGGATGATTACGCTCAAGTAGCAATTGTGCATTGAAATAGTAAGGTGAGGGAGGGGGGATTCCTAGACCCTCAATGGTACATGATTTGGGCATATGGTACGATCTGCTTCCACAGATTTCCTGTCAAGACTGTGTGAATTGATGAGATCAGCTGATCCTAAAGTAAAATCAGCTGGGCTAGATTATTGAAAGTAGACCTTGGTTACACAGCTAGTGGCGTGATGGCCACAGAAGATTGTGTTACATCCAGGAGGCAGTGAGATAGTAGCTGTGTTGAGAAGCATGAAACCTGACCATGAAGAAGATTCTGTCAACAGGGAAACTCTAACAGCTGGTGTTAGGCCTCGTGGGACCGGACAACAATGCTTTGCACTTGACAAAGTTCCTTCGTGGACACTTTGCAGACACCTACTCCCTTATCTTCTTCCTTATCTCCATCCATTGTCAGGCAGGGAACACAGAGTCTTGTCAGCATGTGTGCGCACGCGTGAGGGATAACTGACATCTAGATTAGAGAAGGTGCAATTCCTGCATCTAACATGTGTTTGTGCGGTTTGCTTTCACTTAGCGCGGTGATACGGAAAACCGCAGCACGCATAGAGAAAGTTAAATGCTAGCATGTAATTAGGCACAGATATGTGTGATGGGTATACTTAGCAGTACATATATATATGCACTGGGAAATTTACTATAGGAATCACAGAGCTAGATGTATAGTTTGTAGGTACTCTCTTCCTGATCCATGGTCACAGGGTCAACACTACGCAAATCATTTACTTGAGATCCCAAGATTTTAGCAAATTCAAAGTCTGTAATGCAAGGCACTTAAAAATACTAGTAGATGATAAAGAGAAATATTGGTTATTGCAGCTCTGGAAGTTTCTAGGCATTGGTTGGCGTACGTAGGGGGCATTGGGTGCCGCACCTGGAGAAGCACAGGGGATTAGGCCAGGCTGAGCCCAGAAGTACAGAGCAGCCTGGCATACTTGTGCCTGTCCTATCAGTCATGTTGTTGCCACTGAGACTGCAATGGGCTGTGACGTATGGGATATGGGTACAACGTTATGTACTCGACTATCCCCTGTGTAATACTATGCAGAGACACAGTGGCCGTATCCAGTTCTTACCCATACCAGTGCAAGGACTATCAACTTTAACCAAATGTACTGTACATGTATTCACCAAGTACTCTCTTGGGAATAAGTACCTGTGGTTGGAAGTGTTTCACCTTTGAACCACTCAGCTTCAAGTGATGGTGATCTCATCCTGAGCTCTAGCCTAGGCTCAGTGCATATCCTGACTGCTGACTGCTGAGCACAGTGCGAGCAGGTGCATGGTGTGCTTCTGTACTCATAGTCATACCATGTACTACACTACATCATGCACTGCTCCAGTACTTGACTAGGACTCACTCCCTCACTCACTGTGTGGTTGTACACTACAGTACTCGTATTTACTACTACTACTAGTACTTTTATAACTACTTCCTGTGCTCACACCACAACAAGTAGATTGTACAGTGTACATGGTGTACTACATGTACAGTACAGTCAGTATAGTAGTGACTTGAACAAGGACTATGACTCACACATTAGTCATAGCTGAGTAGTCATGCAACAGTGAGTGACTCACACTAGTGTTACTCCACTTGACTCTATACAGTTTGTACTGTGTGTGGCAGTGTGTGTGTGGCAGTGTGTGTGTGGCAGTGTGTGTGAAACGTGCCGAATGGTCACTGTTCAGTGAGTAGAGAGAGTGGAGTTAAGTGCCCATGAAGTGCACAAGTGCAGGAGCCAGTCAGGCATGGCCTCTGACCCTCACAGACCCTGGTGTGCATTGTAGTGCCTGACATGGACCTATCACATACTACATGAGTGTAATACTCCAAAGGGATCATGTCATTAGCGTGTAGATTCATGTGCAGTTATTTGTATCTAGGCCACTATTAGTATTATGCTGGTACTAATAGTTATATTTGTCGGTGTGTACCAGTCTGGTGATGTTGAGCAGCTGCCTGCTTGCCAGTGCACCCATCTGCTGTGGTGGTAGTGTGGACAGTGAACTTGTTACTGTGAAGAGTGTGATAACCAACATGAATACAATGCCATCATGTAGCAGTCATGTTCACACTCTGATGATGTGACTGTAGCTAGCAGCACATGTCCTGTTACAGATGGTTGGATGTGTCCCACAGTGCCTAATCATACCACCTATGGATACACATCCCTGTGCCTTTAATGTGCACTGTGGGTCCTTTTGAAGCCACAATGACACTTCCCAGCAGCTTTGACATCCTGTTAGAATACCATACCTATCCTACTACTCCCATACACTGACATTTTATAAGTGCTTGTTTGTCCATTGTGGTCACTTGTTTCCGGTGCAGAGCTTCGACAGCAATGGCTACGTGGACCCCGCTAAGCAACAGGCCAACACTGGGATCCGCTAGCGTCGACTCAATCAGTGAGTTGGTCAAGGAGATGAAGCTGTCCTTGCTGATGTGTTCCACACAGTGGCATGGCAATTAGCAGTGCTGCCCTGTGGAGCTAGGGCTGTGTGAGTGCATGCAGTGCTGCCCTGTGGAGCTAGGGCTGTGTGAGTGCATGCAGTGCTACTGCTAGTGTTGAGCTACGCGTAATCAATCCAAATAGGGTAACTTGAATGACTATACCCGGCTATACCTGTGGTAACAGAGTACCACTGCTGGCCAAGAGGACCCATTATTCTGCACTACTAGAAAGTATTGTGGAAATATTATTCATGTGGGGGACCACACTATGCAACCACCATTGTCATTGACTTTTCGCATTGCTTGTGAGAAAGTGAGCTGCAGTATTTTCGTCATGCTCAAATCATAATTCAATATTATCGAGGTGAAATATCAGATGATGTGATTCCCAGTGTTAATTCTAGGACCCTGTTTCTTTTTGTCGTTCCTCTGTGCTGGCGCAGTTGCAACCGGGCTGGAAAATTCTTTCTCCTTCTCTCTTCATTTGGTCACTTCTGTCAGTTTGAGCAATATATTTATGGTGGTTTGTTCTGTAATTCAGAGTCTTAATTTGTTGTATGAAATGATATTTATTAGTCCGGAGGAGGCCTGGTGTTGCCCCATTATCATCTTTTCAATTAAACATGCTGCAGTTCCAGTTGTCTTGTTTGTCTATCGCTTGTCGATCCTGATATGGTAATGGGGATACCTCAACCAGATAGTCTGAGTTTGAGCGTCAAACAAGGTTGCGTGCGGTCGCTGTTCCATCTGTTGTGGACACCGATGACCAGCAATCTTGCCTTCACGTTTTACAGCCATGCTCCGCATCTCGACACACCCGTGAGCAGTGTCCGCTCGTCGCAGAGTCGATCTAAAACAAAACGATGGCACCATCGTAGCCGTATCAGCTGACCAATCCTCCCGCCACGTTCCCCATTGACGTTTTTCTTTTGGTTCTGTTGCACGTGCGTTGCATCTTTCTTGTAGAGCAGCAGCAGCAGCAGCAGCTGAGAGTCATATGATAGAGCAGACGGGAGGAGTTGTTCCCTACTGCCTAGTACTGGACCTTGATGGCAATGCACCCTGCAGCTGTTGGCGATGGGGACATTATCCAGTTGCAGAGATATAGTTCTAAATGACTGGTCGCTTGTGAGCAGACTTTTCCGACACTGACAGGTTACTGCCAGTACTGGGTCAGCCGAATGACCTACAATGTCGTACCACCAACATTTGCTCGTGCTGCTGTCACTTCTGCATACTCTTACTACGCATACATCCCGTTTTTGTCTGTTTGCAAAGGATGGCGTACGTGCAGAGTTAGACGATGGCATCCAGGAATGCTTGGAAGAATTGCTTGATCACATGGGCAGAGGTCATGGGCATTCTGACCTATCCGGATTGGCTGACAGGGTGACGACAACTGACTGTCGCAGTGTTGCCCCTAGCCCTTGCGTTGACCGCCTTGAGATCATCACGTCACGTATCTATCTACCATTGTTTGCAGCAGTGGGCAAACCAGCCCTGCTCTCCACTAAGATTCGCTGTACGCCTGTAGCTGTAATACTAGACCACCATTTTGGACTATCCATAGGTTTCTTGCATTACTGGTTCGTTTACTGTCACACTTACTCTGATAAAGTGATAGTGCACATATCGTGTAGCTCCAGGCAGGGTGGAGAGGACAAGGGGCCCAGATGGTGCCTGCCAGTGCGCCTGTCACGTCTGCTGCTGTGGCTGCTTCTGCTTGCTGGCAGAAGGCCCACGTGCAGCTGTGCACAGTGGTGGGCATGATAATGGTGTGTGCCGCCTAAACAATATGATCAGTACAAGTATCATACTGGTACCCGTATGCTCCCGAATCCAACTAGACTGTGAAAATAGTACTGTCCGCATAACATAGTGACTGGTCCCGATGTAGAATGTATGCTGGAATAATTGAAGCGTGTATTTTGTAAACAAACACTTCAACTGCGTCCGCAGTGCATACACAAGAATATGGACCGACAACCAACAGGTGTAACGGGAAGGGAGAACGTACCCAACACGTTTGTTTGTGGTGTCGGGTGCTCCAGTACTGGCTGCTGCGGACAAGAATCGATGAGAAAATCAATCTCCTTCCGCCCACACTGAAGGCCTGCTGCTCAGGGAGGAGTCACGTAAATGTCTGCGAGATACCCACTCTGACAATGTACTCGCCCGAAGCAAGGAGGGAGTGGTCAGCGCATACCAGTCGGTTCGGACTATGGGATTCATAGGGCGTTCATACATGACGAGGATAGCTACCGAGAGACGTGCGTGAGGGGCATACGGGCACACGTGGCGCTACGAAGGTGGCACTGATTCGCAAACGTAAACAAGAGGGAAAAAATTGACGTTTGACAGCACAGTCCTACATGTAGTGTACCCCTTCAGCACAGTCCTAGCGTACCCCTTCACGGCTTCAGTACTTTCCTTCATGTACAAGGTCAGGGGTACACGTTCCAAGACGACCGTAATGGCATTGGAATACAGTAAAATGACTTTACGTATGATCTTCCTTGCCCTGGCGTAGGGGCTCAGCTGTGACGTGTGGTAGTGGCTGTGCTATGTCAAAGAACATGGAACGACATGGATGGCATACCTGCGATCTGTGTGGGCTCCTGGCAGCCGTACTGGTAAAGCAACACTAACAATGCATACAATGCTTAGCTAGTCACTCGTTGGGAGGGAGGAAATTCCATCCACACGCGTAATGCCAACCTTTACTTTGAGCTACGCTACTGTGCAACTCAGCCGCAGGCTGCAAGAAGTCCGAAAGGAAGCAGGCGGAAAACCTGCAGTATCTCGTGAGACCGGGCTTCGTTTGCGTCATCGCCTCTACGCCATGTTCTTACCACTATCTGCGTTTGACACTTCACCCAGGGGACACGAAGTCTGACAGTTGCAATTTGTCCTCCGATGAATGTAGCAAATGTCAAAATACTACTGTACATGTACTAGCACTGCATTTCTATGTTGACTACCTACATGTACACGACTGTATGCCGGACGAGCTCTGTTTTCCACAATCATGCATGATGTGGGCTCAGTGGTAGAGTCTACATCATGTGCAGTTACCCGGTAGAAGCAAGACTCAGCCAAGAGTTGAGTCGAAGTCACAATACAGACTACCGTCATCGTGTGTGTCACGGTGGCATAGTAATGACAACGACGTGCGCAACTAACTACTTCTGGTAGTTCTGCGGAGAATGAAACATACAGTCATGCAGCATACAGACTTCACGGGTCGGAGTACCAGACCATCTAACCGTGGCCTCAGTAATAATATTGTTTTCGCATGCAGACCAAGACGACCAAGATGTATGGCTGTCACTCATCATTCTCGTCCAGAACGTAAAATGTCCTCATCGCCATACTGCCATAGCACTGTCTTTGTCTTCGTACTTCCCAGCAAACGAACTGGAAGACGTCCATCGCGTGTACGGACTAGGAAGGACCTACTAGAGCGCAACACTGCATGCATCCCAGAGACGAAGATTCGTGAGGGATTCCCTGTCATTCGTTCAAGACACTTTTAATATTGTTTCGTCTAGCACTCTCACTCATTCTCGCCCAAGGTGTGCCCACATACAGTCATGTACATACCGTACCATAGTCATTGGCAACAAGACTTCTGCTACATGGAGCACACTAGATAGCTCTTTGGTCTTACTACTAGTCTTAGCATCAGCCATACCGGCAAGATACAACCTGCGCTGACACTTGTGAGTGTGAGTCTGACAGTCCGATCTCCGCCGACTGAGGTACGAAAAAACTGTCAACTGACAGGCGTGCATCAGCTGATATGTGCATAACCTTTCAACACCTCTCCTGGCCGCTTTCAAACTGCTTTGACAGTTGACAGGTCAAGAACGTTACGTGGCTGCAAGGCCCGCACTCGTCTGTACACTATCATGCTACACGATGTTCGTAGTCAACAAAAATGGTCTACGTGACCAGCTGAGAGGGTGTACAACCCACAGCCATCCGTGAAATCCGAGAATGCATCCCAGTTCCCGCCATCTCCGACATCTCATGTGACAGAAGAGGCACTGCGGATTAGCTAATTATTGAGATTAGAGTGCGAGGCCGAGTGACAGCGACCCCGTTTCGATTGGGTGGTTTTCTGAATCCAAACAGGCTCAGGTCTGACAACAGAGAGTTGATCTTTGGCCATTCACGTCCATCGTTTGAAGGAAAGAGTTTCGCGTAAGTTGTGAAAGGTGCGTTTGACGGGCTGATGGTTTCTTCTGCGTCACACAATCCTGTCCAGCAAAGCACTTCTGCGTGTTTTGGGTGCCCCATCGGCTTGGGCGTATTGATAATGAATTCGACTCATCGCAGCCACTTGCAGCCTTGCCATTGTCTGTACATCTGCATTTTGTTCGCATTTTCTTGAAACAGGACAAACTGGTCCTACTAACTATCATCGCTATGGCTCAGCCTTGTCATGGTATGACGCATTGGTGAAGTAAAATAATTGGTAGAAAGCCCCAGACTCACAAATGCAACATGCTCGAGGGCTTCTGACCAACCACTCCCAGTGGAGGAACGATCCGGTTATCGTCAACTCCAGCACTCGACTACGTATCGCTCTGCTCTTCTCAATCTTTGCAGCAGACGTGTGTGGGCACATGTCTCTGATTTGTGATGAGTAGATCCATCAGCCGGAGCTAATCCACTCCTTGGCATGTGCTAGATGTTTCTGTTTCTGAAAAGTTGGGAGTATGGTGGTACTCTCCAAAATCCATGCTGATCTGTTGATCATTCTGCTGGTTGTATTACTCTGCAAGTGCAAGTGCAAGTGATTTTTTCAAACAATTATTATTGCCTCTTGACTGTAATTGTCAGCAGCTAATGTATGGGCTACGGAGTACGGAATGTTTCATTCGGCCAGTTCTCGTTTACAATGACCACCTGTAATGGTCATGAATACTGTAGGATATCGTAATTCATCACACTGGCCTACCATACCACTACATTATGTACTCAACTACCAGGTACACATGATCGTACTAGAAACGTAAATAATTAATTGAAGTAATTAGTTACTGCAGTACAGTAACTGCTACTGTTAGTTGCATGATGCATTGAATCTTTACGGCTCCACTTTACACCCTGTGGTAGGTTTTTGCAGCAGCAGCGGTAGCAACCTGTCCGAGAAACACCGTAAACCACATGTGTGATTAGGTGATTCGGATTTATCAGAGCACACCTTCACGAGCACACCAGTCAACAGCTTGCCCTATACTAAGGCTAAAGTGCAGGACTGTACATTTTCCAGCACACAGTCGTTCCCCTCTTCATAAACATCGTAGTACTCATTGAATCATAATTTTGCTGTCATCACATTGTGGCTTCGAAACTAAATAATTAACTAATTATTTTCCTCGCACACATCACTGATCAGTTATTACGTTATCACACATACAGCGATGACCGGGACAGGAGGTTTGTGCAAGCATGACCGTTGACAGCGTTGTGCTTTGCTTGGCGGCGCACCAGAACTGAGAGTAGTGAGAGTTGGTTTCTTCAGAACTGCTTGGCTAGAGTCTAGCTGTGGCTAGACGTGTGAACTGAAGCAACATGCTGAGGTGCAGGTCTCCTGAAGTATCACCTAGGCTGAGGAGAGAGGTGGCAAGTCTTGAAGAAGAAAGGCCAACAGTCAGCACTGTCTGTAGCGTTCCCTGCTAGTTCTGCTCTAGACTAGAGTAGAGACAAACAGTAGAGTGCGGGTAGTTTTGGCTCTGCCTCGGCCTCGATGTCAGTCACTGGATATCGTACGACCTCTCGAGCTAGCTCGGTTCAGTGACCTCGATCCGAACTAACCATTCTTCTGCCACGTGCTCAGTCCACTAGCTAGCTGACAGCACACGAACCAGCGCTAGCGCTGGTGATCGTGATCACTGACAACATTTTGTAGATATCTTCCGTACATATCGCGCTTGCACGTAATCGTCCTTCAACACTGTCGCAAAGTAGGAAGTGACGGACTTCGCGCGTGGTGACTCAGCCTCGGCATGCCGTACATAATCCAGTACGTTATTCTATGAAAGCGCGTAGTACGGAGTACGGTAGTACTAGTAGCGTGGAGTCACGTGTCAATTCGCGCGCTAGGGAGAAGACCTACAAGGCTACATGTGTGCCGTGTACAAATTACACTGGGACTCACAGTCTAGTCAGTGGGTGCTGTCACTGTCAAGCCGACTGGATATCGACGACAAAAGTAAGGTTGCTCCTTGCGCCTGCATTCATTGTGAACTGGTGTCAACGGTGAGCGGTCGCAAGTTTTCATTAGGTTGTGGACGAAGAGAAACCTTCAGCACCTAGGAGGCTAACTTTCCCGCTTACCAACATGCGCTCCACGATTCAACTATTCGCCGCCCAGAGCGTGATGGAAGACCATCGTGCCAACGCTAACAGTGCGGGCTACGGTGACGAGCGAAACCAAGGTACGTGTTTCCGTCGGGTTTTTCCAGCGCACGTCTCGTTGACGTGCGTGCGTGCGTGCTGCTTTGCAAGACGTTGTTTGTCCTTGGTCTTGTCGCGGGCATGCCGTTAGTAGGCTTTCAAGTGAGATGTCACACTCCTTGCGGTGGTGCAGTCCTTGGCATTCCTTGCACATGGCCACGTGAATGATTTACTCCACATAATTCTTCCACTGGAAGCGGGAACATTCAAGTTCTGAAAGTTGACGTACCGATAATTACTAGCGCAACTAATTGTTTCCTTTCTTTCTCTTTCATGGTATGTGTTCTGCAGATTGTAGTTCGTCCGATAGTAGCAGCCCTGTATCTCCGGACTCCAGGCAGCTGGATGCAAGCGCTGACAGGCGCCGTGGACATCCCAAATCCACTTCGGAAACACTGAAGAAGTGGATTGACTGTCATCGCGACAATCCCTACCCGAACGACGACGAGAAGAACGAGCTTTGCCGAGAGACTCAACTGACGAGAATCCAGCTGAACAATTGGTTCATCAACGCACGGCGTCGCTATCTACCGGGAAAGGCAGAACATGATACTGGACTTGCCTTCTCCCCTGTCAAGAGTAAGCCGTCAGCACGCTCCGTGTTGCGCAGACCCAAGAGTCCTCAGCCGAGCCGAAAGAGAAGTCCTACAGAAGAGATCGATTCCATGGCTACAGTGGAACCTACTTGCATTCCGGAAAGTGTCCCGTCACCAATTTGCTCCGACTGTGATGATTCAAGCTCCAGCTCAGATTCTGACAGTTCTGAGTCCCAGGACCCTTCACCTATGGCTATGGATCACTCTTTCGAGCGACCTTCTCTCCGTGCTCCGAAAATGTTTGCTGCCCTGCTGGAAGTGGTAGATCGCGAGTGGTGTGCAATTTACCAGGGCGATGAGGAGAGGATGGAGACCTGACTTTCCCTGACCTCACCTTCTTTGTGTCTCTAATAGGCTTTTATCTATTCTAGGATCCTGTTTATCACGAAACTCTTTTATCATCTCCCTGCGGGTAGGATAGGTACTCTTTGAATTATAATCCAAGTGTAGTGCTAATGGATAGTATGGTTATGGCTTCCTTGTTCCTCCGTATAATACCATCTCTGCTTTGTGGGATGTGAAAACGAATTAGTCCTCTTCCACCATTCTCCTTATAATTATAATATTAGTCTCCCAGTCAGAATCAAGACTGTCTGGTGCCAGTGGCATAGCTAAAACCTGCTGGCTGATGATCCTCTTTTTCCCATCCTTATTCAATTCAGCACATATCTTATCTGATGCTTAGCAAATATGGAACTTGAGTAGGGTGTCTTCCTCATTATCTCTTTCTCTTGTTGACCACGCTCATTATGGCATTGGCGTTGAACTCTCATCGACCTCTTTATCCGACCTATACTATTGTGGCTTTCTCTTTTCCAAACTCCTGTCCTGCTGGGTAGATGTGTGCTTGCTGACTGACCATGTGAGTCTAGGCGAGAAGTCTTGTAGCGAGGCATAATCCGGGGAAATGTGAACGATACAAGCATGATGCAGTGCACAGAAAAACATGACGGGTTTTTACAATTTTAGAACACACTGCACTGGTGCAACGGACTCGTCAGAAAGCACAAAGAAGAAGGAGACGTGTTTTACCTTTACTTAGAGTCTACTGTAACCAGTAAGCATCAGTTAGACTGTAGTAAGAGAGTGTCATTGCTGCCCACTGTCTGTACTACGACTACGAGTGTGCACTGCGCGATGGAGCTGTCTCACTTTCCGAGTGCTGTCAATCTGGCCGAACGGGATGACGAACATCCAAAGCTGTATAAAGGTCACCGCGACCATCTGTAGCCACAGTGTAGGCTGATTGTATGTTTTGCCTGACGTCGACGGTGTTGACAGCATTAATCATTCCCGCCAAAATTGATCGATACACGTGCCTTCTGAGTCTGACTCTGAGCTTGTCGCCCGAGCACTCTTCTTTGGCTCTGGTATGCAGGACGTGCCACCTACCATTACGACTACATAGTCATTGTACATAAATTCATAATCATTGTATTTGTACTGGTCCCAGCCCCAGGATCGGAACGCTGGACAAAAGACGTGCGCCGATAACATGGATAATGTGTGCTTGGAGATTGATGTGAAAAGTATGCAAACTATCGTATGGTGATTACCGTCGCGTCGCGGCTCTAGGCTAGCTCTAGCATGGCCCGACCGCATTTGTTTCGAATGTAAGATCGTTAGCTGTTGTATGTGCTGCTAGGCGTAAAGCGAGGAGGAAAACGGATCCTACTTTCCTAGGCAAGGCGGCAGCTTCAAGCGACTTGCGCGCTGGGGTTTCTTTCCGATTGATTGCGAAACTCTAGTCCGTGGCGTATACGCGTATGACTAGTGTAGTGAGTCTGACTATGACTACGAGCAGCGCGAGCTCCACTGCCGCACTGGCCCGGATCGATCAGACTGTAGCCATACCAGTGCAGTGCAAGTACCAGTAGAGTAGAGACAAGCTGTGTGACTGACAAAGCAGGATGCATATTCACTGACTGTCTGAGAATAGTGAGATCTCAGCATCAGTCCAGTTGAGTTGTTTGTCCATAAAATCATTGTACTTAGTTACAATCCTTGTTTAACCAGACTGACATGTTACACTACAGTCTACTACTAGTAGATCTACGTCTTACTCTTAGTCTTAGTACCATCGGCAGTAGACCAGGTAGACCTTCGACCAGGCTTCGTGTAGCTTGTGCAGAGCCGCGCGCAGAGGGTTGCAGGAGTGGGACCAAAAATAAAGCTGAAAAGGTAGACATCAGCTTGAGAAACTGACACTCTATTTCCAACTGAAGTACGAAAACTCTCGCTGTTTGATGTGTTGTGATGAGGAAAGCGACGCGTGACGGTTAGTATCTGCACAACAAAGCAATGCAACGTCCCATTTCCACTTCCTGGTACTGAGGATACAGCAGTAGAATGCGCACCGAGTGACTGTAAGGTGTGACTTCCTGCCAAATAATAATTCGTTTCTTTTCGCCAATCAAGTAAAACTCACTGATACTGGTTCTGCCTTCTGGTCTGCCCAGTGCATGCAGTACCCACACGACAATGCCATCCTTCTATCCCTGATCCTGGCATGGCAAGATCCGCATTTTTTGGAGTCAGTAGTTGTCGTTTTCGCTGTCTTTGTGCTTGCAGACTACAAAGCAGCATCGTCGATGGAGTCGCTGGGAAGATCAACACGCTGTACGCATCGTGTCTGCGAAACAGCGACAACGACAAATCGACATACAACTAATACTTACAAGTACAATCATGGACATGACTGAAGACTACATTGTAGTCGACTGCGTAGTGCTGACATGAAAATGAGAGAGAAGCACATAATTATGTACATGGTACATAACCATGATAACATGACAATGACTTATGTTCGAGGCGATCGAGTATGCATGATGACAATGTCAACATGCAAATCCACCATGTCATTGTGAATTATTTGTGTGTGAGTAGTGAAACACTTGTATAAATCAGTCTTATCGAAGTTACAGTTAATTACTAGTATGATTTATGCAGTGGCAGTACTAGTACTAGTAGTAGCGGTAGTTGGGGATCGCAGTCACTAGAAGTCACTCATATCGATTGTGTCCGCAGGTGACAACTCTATAGACACAAACCGCACGTTTAGCGCTAGATACTGAACTGAAGTACTCAGTAACAGTTTTCGGGCGGCCGCCGACTGTCTTTGTAGCCACTTCGGTACATGGAACAATGACGATGTCGCTTGGAGACTGTGGCATCGTGCAGCCTTTCGTTAGTTGCTTTGGACGGCATATCGGCGCCTTCTCACAAAGAAGACGAGGCATCACGTTGCAAAAGACCTGTCGATGGAAGTCTCCTGAACTGAATGGATCATCGCCGACGTATGCATCTTGGCGCCGAGAATCAGCAGCGATGGCTGCAACTGGAAGGTGTTCTGAATACGAATCCTAGTCATGTGCTAGACAAGTGTTGAGTCAGTCGTGGAGTACAGTCAGCCAGTGGCAGTCACGCACTCACCGACTCACATGCGGTCACGCCTGTCGGAAAACTGTCAGGAGAGTTTTGACTTGCGGGCCGGTTGTGTGCAGGCTTTCCCCGTTTGTTTGCTGAGCGACCTCCGCGCGTTGGGGGTGAGTTGGGGAGTTCTGCGCTGCAGCGCTAGCAGCTTGCACAGTTGCAGCGCTGCGATTGCGAAGCAGCACTGACTGTAGTCTGTAGTAGATCTACTAAGTATTAGAGATTCTTGCAATCTTGGGTCAAGGGCCCAGTAGGGGTAGGGGTAGGGTGCACTCAACCAGTGGTGGTAGAGAAATCCGACCTCTACTCGTGTTGTGAACACAACGCAGACGCGCAGCCCCAATAGTCCAAGGCCCATCTTTTGCTGTACTGGAGTGAAGCACCACTCTGGTTTTCATGAGGCAAACTGGTTGATCACTTCTGTTCATGTACACGCACATGTAATGGCTTTGTACATGATTGCACACTTCGTGAGCCTAACGTTTCCGCTTTGCTCCAGCAGTTTTACCTCTATGCATCATTCGACTCCCTTCACACCTTTGCCTTACCAAATCCATTGAAGAGGCTGCAGGTGCAAGACGCAGCCGCGCCACTCAATATCACAAGTACTTATACAGTCGTGGACACATTTTATCATCAGTTTTCCCCCCTGACGACGGCTAGGGTCCGGCGGATTCTGCCGGCAGAAAAATTGGCAAAATTCGGTACTTTTTCTGGTAAGTTTCATGCATGTTTGGTATGTGGATAAAAAATGGAGCATAATTCGAGGAATTGCCCGCCATAAGGTTTGTATGGTTCTGCCAAATATTTCACTGCTTTTCGAGCAGAATCTGCCACCTTTTCGAGCAGAACCCGCCGGTCGACCCTGCAGCCCTGATGGGGTATTCTCATGCCATTGGGCTAGCCTACCTTCGGCGGACAGTTTCAGTCAATGGATGGTATGGCCTCCCTAGACTAGTACCATGAGAACTGTCATGTATGAATAGTAATTGAAGGAAAGTAACTATTTATACTTACTTCAAAAAATACTACACTACAGTAATATTAATAATTAAGTATATGTTATCGCATGGTTGCAAGGGCCTTATGGCATATTATTGACCCGAGAGGTTAGCCCGAGGGCCGTAGGCCCGAGGGCTAACCTCGAGGGGCAATAATATGTCATAAGGCCCGCAGCAACCATGCGATAACAAATTTATCACATGGCCCACAGAGCAGACCATTGGGCTGCTGTTGAAATTAGCCCAAATGCCAACACATTATGACCACAACGTATATTGATGTGCTATCATTATCAAAACAGGAAAAATGAAGATATTTCTCCTACACCCTAACAAAAAGTCTTCTACAGGCCATCAGAGAGTATACAGTACTGAAAGACGGAGACAGAAAAAAAGTGCCGGCACCGCATCGTCATAGCAATAGACATGGCAACGACAATAAAATACAGCAGAATCATAATTTCAATTGAAAAATTACGAGTGCTACCACAAAGAGTTTCTTCATGTTTACATGTGTATCAGGAAGTTGTCAAATACAGTACTGCAACAAGTGCAAGTATTTGACGACTCCCTGGTGTGTAATTCTGAGGACAATTTTTCTTCTTTTTCTTCAGCTCCAGATAGCTGTATTTTTCATTGCAAAACATTCCTGAATTGTTGTGTTTGTTGTTCAAGCAAAGGTGAGATGAGCCTGGTAAGAGTTTTGCGTGGCACATGAAGACCACACACATGCACAGGCAGTGACTTTGCGAGGATTTGAAAACGCACGACGCTGAGTTGAATTTGTGTTATTTCAAATAATTGTTTGTGATCACAGTACCACTTCGAGCAGAACTGAATCTTATCCACAAGCTTACCGACGGTCAGGCTGCCAACATGACTGAACAAATGATCCCTGCAAGCACCACACGGCAGACGTCCGAGGCCATGTCCATTGCCGGGATGTCCAACTCCAAAAAGAATTCCATCTTCGTCTCAATGCTACACTGCGACTCGTCGTAGAGTCGTACAGTCTACAGAGTCGTCGTACGATCGTCGTCACGCGATCACTGAAATAAACTATTTTTTTGCGGGCAAATAAACTATTTTTTTTGCGGGCAATATCGCATATTATTGCCCGCGGCGCGAAAGGTGCTGATTCGCTGGAGTACGGGCAACAATCACGTGCCATGTGATAAAATATAATTATACTGTAATAGCTTCTAAAGTAAACATGACAGGCCGAGAAGAGTGACGGTTTGTGTGTGTGTACTCACTCTGTATGTACCGGCGCTAACTCCACACGTACTAGTAGTAGCACAGTACATGAAAGTGTCTTGTTCGTTGGTACGCGCCGTGCTATCCATCCATGGGCATCGTGGTGAGGAGGTTCTTCTATCTTGTCGGT